AGAGAGAGGTCCGACACGCCCAACATAGGACGCGGCCATTTTGATTCCTATGCCACAGTTTATAGCTAAAGAATCAGATAGCTCACTCTGCGTCGGCACTTTTGATCTCAATGTTCCAGTTTATACACTGCGCAACTCGGATAATACAATATATGACAACCGCCTATAATAAAACAGCAGTCTTCTGCGTATCCTGAATTTGTATCCCTGGAGTGGATGTTATTTTGGCACTGACAGCAGCAAGCAAAATATCAGGTGCGTTTTAATCATCCGCTTCTGCTTCCGGAATTGTCGGTTTAGTCGTTTTAACCTGTCAAATTAAAACAAGAAAACCGACAATTCCGAAGCAGAAGCGGATGATTAAAACGCACCTATTAAAAATATTGCGCCAAGATGTAGGCAACACGTAATAAGGGATCAAAATGGCGGAGTTTTCTATCTCCTTTTAAAAGGCACTCAGAAAGCTGTGCAGTGCGACCATTCTCCGTATAGTAAAAGAAAATTAAAGTATGTGACCACAATGTTGTATAATCGCTGTGGTACATATGGAATAGGTACCATGACTGCGAAACAAACTTTGATATTATTTGTTATACGATTAAAGAGATAGTACTAGTACATACAAAAGATATGTAGATATTTATGAAAAGAAAATCATTTAAAAGGTGTTTGTTGTATGTATCTAAATAATAGGCAGCAAGAGTAAGTATAGACAAAGAGTATACCGAATAGACATTGTCAGGTAAAGGATAAATCAATTGAACCAAAAAAGTTCGTAGAATGAGAAAATTGAGTGCAAATCTTTTTGTTTTCAATATAGTTTGCTGCCTTTTCAATCCAATTGGATTGGATATGATTCAAGGATGGTAACCCAATCTTCAAGAACACATTAAGAGTTAAATCAGCTATTTCTTAATTTTAATTCAAAATATTTTTCACCCAATCACTTATAATGTATAAAGTGCTGTTCTAATATTTTTCCTCTAACGCGCCTGTTTGTCATGTCTCCATTATTTGCACTGGAACAGAATATGCTTTACCGTGCCCACCATTAAACAGTACATTCATCCAGAGTTTTCACTAACATCAAGTCTACTCAGATATTCCATAAACCAGATTTGGCTTGTTAGAAATATGAGACATATGAAAAATGACACAAAATTTTCGTTTATTCCATCCATTTAAAGTTTAAACCATTTACAGATTCTAATCGTTAGATAAACGATATATACCACATATTATATAGTCTGTTCGCTATACTTACGCGGGTTTCGGATTAACAAAATTATGCAAATTAGTCATTGACAACCAGTTCCATTAAGCCTCTTCACAAGAAATTAGGTAAAATTGCCCTAATGGTCAGATTTAAATTAAAATAACATTAGGGTAGGTACTAAATTTGTTACAAATATTGCAGTTGAATTGATTCTTTGCAAGTGTTGACATTGTATGTATATTGTAAATTTAGTGGAAATTTTAAAAATGCCTAGACGTGTGTTAGATGTAGATAGTCTAATTTGTAGTATACATAAGTATTTTACGGATGAAAAAGAAAATGGCGGTCCTTTAAAATCGGTAATGTCTGTACAACAACGCGTATGCGATACTCTAGGAATTAGTGAAACCAAATTAAGAGGTGTATTACAAAATCACAATAGTGAACTGCCGAAAGAAGATCAGCGCAAAACTCGCCCATCATTGAAAACGAAAGATATTCCAGATGGAAAAAATTTTGAAATTCGTGATACCATTTATTGAATGAGGGCCAACAAGGAACATGTGACCTTAAATACAATTCTCTCGGAATTAATAGATAGAAAATTTTACGACATTGGCAGAACAAGTATGGCAAGTGATACATAACTTGGGTTTCAAATTTCAAAAGGAGTATAACAGAAAGGCCCTTTGTGAAAGAAGTTCTGTCGTGCACAAGAGAATTAACTTTCTAAGAAAATATTCTAAATTTAAAGAAGAAGGGGCGAATTTTATATATTTAGATGAAACATGGATATTTTCTAGAGGTGCAACCAAGAGAATATGGCAAGCTGATAACGTAAAGTCCATCAAACATACCAAAGGAGAAGGGAAGCAACACATAATTTTACATGCAGGAGGGAAATCGGGTTTTATAGAAGGTGCTGATTTAAACAACAAAAATGTTTGTAAAATTGTTGCATGAAAAACTTCTCCCAGGTTTAAGTGAGCCCACCGTAATTATTTTAGACAATGCACCTTACCATTCTGAAGTATTAAACAAATGTCCAACGAATTCTTGGACTGTTGATAAAATTAAAGAATGGTTGACAAAGGAACATATACCATTTCCTCAATATATATATATATATCTCGTTTATTTAGCAAAGCTAATAGTACATTACAAATAAATAAAATTACAAAAAATATTTATCTATATCTAAAATATAAAATATAACACTAAAATATCACAGATGCTGGCTCGTTAACATATAATCTCTTAGTTTATATTTAAAGGTATTAAATGAGGCGACATTTCGGAGTTCTAAGGGTATCTCATTAAAAGCTTGAATTTTGGGACTGTTTACGTGCAACTTGTGGAATATGAAAATTAGATCTATTTCTTGTGTTATAGTTATGATAGTCAAAGTTGTAATTGATTTTATCAAGTAAATAAGAGGGGACCAGTCCATGTTTAATTTTATAAATGAATATTAAAGTTAAGTACAGAAAATAGTTTTTAACAGAAAACCATTTCAAATTTTGTAACATACCTAATATATTGGTCCTTCTATCACATGATAATAATATCCTCATTGCTCTATTTTGTAATTTCTGAAGTCTGTTGGTTTCATTCTGATTAAGTAAATACATAATGGTGGCACAATAAGTGAAATGAGGCAAAACTATACTGTTATATAAAAGAATCAATGACCATTTATTAATATATTTTGAGCACCGGTATAAGTAGTTGACTTTAAACGCTACTGTTTTAATGATATAGTTTGCATGATCTTTAAAAAACAACATATGGTCTACTATTACTCCCAGATATTTAATTTTTTTTACGACTTCAATGACATCATTTTCAATACTAATTTTCATATTATTTTCAGTAAATTCATTGTAATACCTAACATTCCCGATAATCATAAATTTAGTTTTGTTAATATTTACTTTTAACGAATTAAAACAACACCAATAATATATTTGCTTTAATGTGGTATTTATAGTAACGGTTACTTCCTGCAAATTATTAGCAGAATAATACAGCAGAGTATCATCTGCAAACATATGTATGGAGCAACCACCTGCAACTTGAGAAATATCATCAATATATAGAAGGAACAATAGTGGGCCCAATACACTCCCCTGTGGTACGCCTAATTCATTTTTTTGTTCTTTTGATAAAATGTTTTTAAACCTTAATTTTTGTTTTCTATTGTCCAGGTAATTTATAAGCCATTCTAGTGAATTTTCAATAATACCAAAACTTTTTAACTTTTTAATCAGTAGAGATCGATTTACCGTTTCAAATGCTCTTTGTAGGTCTAAAAAAAGAGCACCTGTAATTAACTTGTTGTCAAGATTCTGTTTCCAGTCATTTAATACATATTGTAGTGCAGTCTCGCAGCTGTGTTTACCCCGAAATCCTGATTGATTACTATTAAACATATTATTTTCTTCCAAATATTCAATAAGTTGATTATACTACTTTTATCTAAAATTTTTTCTACTGTACATAACATATTAATAGGATATTAAAATCAGAATTATTACGCTTGGCAAATATACACACAAAACCAAAAACCTTTGTTGTGGATCAGATTATTGAAAGTTACGGTCATCAAGTTTTACGTCTGCCACCGTATCATTGCCAGTTTAATCCCATCGAATATATATATGGGGAATAGCAAAACAATATTATGACAACCATATTGGGCCTAATGGTTATAGTGACGACGCAGTTCGGGAAACTTGGCGAAAAGCACTTTCAATTGCAACTCCAGAAGTGTGGCGGAACTGTATATCCAAGTGCGAGAAACTAGTAGAAGATTGGTGGACTCGCGAAAATAAAATAAACGAAATAAGTCCAATCATAATAATAATTAATGGTGATGACAGTGATATTTTGGATGATAATGACTGATTTTCATTTTCATTTGAAATTCTCTACATTCTACATGGAACAAATTTTTATGTTAGAAAATATTTTATTTGAGCTAAATAACACCTTTAGACCATATTTTCTGTGTGAAGTGTAATATAAAATTATTATTAGGTTTATATTAGCCACATTAGACTCCATTAATGAAGAAGTTTAATTCTGCTCTTAATTATACAAAAGATTCTCCATTATTATTTAATAAAAAAGTTGTACATTTTTCATTTCATTTAACTAGTTGGTATTTCCCCAAAAAACAGGTCAAACTTTCGGGTACTTACCTGGAAATACTCATAAAATTTTTAATCCGAAACTCGCGTAAGTATAGCGAACAGACCGTATGTAAAGGATTGGATGCCCTATTCTCAACAGCCTTCTTTCAATTTCTGTAGTTCCTTCTTTCCTACACCTAAGTCATCATTATTCCTTAAATGACAATCTCCTGTCTAACGTATTCCCCAGGTAAACTAGTAGCTAAAATCTTTCTTTAAATAATTTTTCATTATTATAGACAGAGAATTGGCTGTTGTAATGTGGGGTAGAGAAAATTAAAAAATATCAGATATGGAAAAGATCCTCGTAGTTGAGATGGAACGATGGCAAATATAACAGATCCGGAAGATTATGGGGAGATGCAGTTCTATTAATCATTTCTAAGTTTTATGTTAATGTGAATTAATGTCAATTCGTTTAAAAAAAAAAAAACCGGTTAAATCATTTTGTTAATTGTTTTTAACGTTACCTTCTCTTAGAAAACACAAGCACTGCACTGGATGTTTTAAATTGATACATTAATTCACTTAAAATAAGGCCGATTTGTTTTTTAATAAAAACAGACAAGTCTAGAGAATACTATCATTAATGATCCTCTAATTACCGTTTAAATTCATTGTTCTGGTCGTAGATGATTGCCCCTACCTTTAAATCGTGTGATTTATTCGTTCAGTGTACTCCGTAGATTATAGTATAAAAATAAAGTACCACGAAAAATTAATTAGTATTTTTGAATTGTTTGTTATTAGTAATTTAAAAAAAAAAAGGTAAGTCATTTTCTTTCTCGTAAAAAACGGTTTGAGAATATTATTTTTTTAAAATCATATTTAATAAACCAAAACATTTTTTGAATGAGTTTAGTAATAAAGAAATAATTTATAAAAGTGTAGTCAGAAATTTAAGACAAACATAAGAAAGATAATATTCACAAAAACCGATAATTATTGTACACGTCAAATTTTTTTTCCTGTTTGTTGTTCATAATAATATAAACAAATAAAAAATATTCACTTTGTTTTTTCTTTCATTTTGTATAGTTATTCTTTATCTACATTATTACTGAATACATAAAAAAATATTTTAAATTAAAGATATGTGTCTATGATTTAATTTTGTTAGATGCTATAGAAAATACAAATACAGTGGCTACTAAATTAGGAATCAGTTCTTCTTGGAGCATAGTTATTATAGTTAGGTATGTTTCTCCGGTTGTTTCCATTGAAGAAAAAAAGGAACTATTGTATGATCCAGAGGCGGCTTGTGGCCTAATCTACGAGGAGGCTACTTAATACAATTATATATTTTTATTAGAATACAAAAAGCAGAAATATTAGATTGTATTCTTATAGAAATATATATTTGTATTAAGCATATAGGGTGTGCCAGCCAATAATTAATAATTACAGCTGCATATTTTTAATGTTACAGGTTTTAAAATATGATACACGTATCCACATTTTCAATTTGTTTACTTATTGTTGTATCTTCTTGCAATGGACTGCGAATACAGTCGAAAAAAACGATGCCTACTCTGGAAAGACTACCAAGTATTCCTTCAAACGAACTTGGCGAAGGACCACACTGGGATGTACAATGTCAAAGTTTGTTTTTTGTTGACATATTTGGGAAATCTATTCACAAATACGTACCCGCTACTAAAAGGCACACCCAAGCAGATATTGGTAAGTACGACAATCGTAAAATTCTAACTTAGAAATAGAAATAGAATTTATTCATCTTTGATAATTATACACTATACAAAGACACTAGGTACATAATGTAAAATCTTATCAGACTAGTCAAAAAAGTGTTAAGTAAAATACATTAACAAATAAAATATATATAATAGACAATTCATGTTAAGATTAGTTTAAAAGTTCAAAAAATCTTCTATACTATAAAATACATTATTTACAAGAAAATCATTAAGATGTTTTCTTAAATCATTACGACTAATTTGATGATAACCTGTAGTATCTTCTAATATGTTACTGAACTTATTGTAACACTTACTCCCAATATATTTTGGTGAATGCTGGCTTATTTGTAGTCGTGAAAAAGGTTGATGGATGTTAAATTTTAATCTAGTATCATATGAGTGCAGGTATTTATTTTTCTTAAATATATGCTCATTATCTTTTATGTATAAAATTAGTTGAAAAATAAAAAGAGAAGGTAGTGTTAAAATTTGCGTTTTCTTGAAAAGTTCTTTACATAATGTTGTTGGTGTCACCTTATACATGGCTCTCAGAACCTTCTTTTGAGATACAAAAACTTTTTCAAAGTATGGTGAAGAACCTCAAAATATTAACCCATATTGTAGAGTTGAATGAATCAAATCAAAATAGCATAGTTTTAAAGTATCAAAAGATAGTGTCTTCCTTAAATTTTAAGTACTTAATTTTGAAATTACCTTTTTTATATTCAATTTGGGATCTAATATTATTCCTAAAAATTCATCAACGCTTTGAATAGTTTTTCCGTCAACGTGCAAGTAGGGTTCGTAATCTGGTAATATGTTTTTGGGTAGAAATTGCATGAAGTTTGTTTTTGTTACATTTAATGCCAGACCGTTATCTTTACAATACTGGTTAAACTCACGAGATGCCTCGTCGCTACTTTGAGTGACCTGTTCAATTTGATCATCTGCCATTACAATATTGGTATCATCGGCATATTAAACTATTTGTTGAGAGCTTAAACAAAAATTACTTATATCACTTATAAAAACTGTAAAAAGAAGTGGGCCCAAAATTGAACCTTGGGGAACTCCTATTGTACAGGGAAGAGGATCAGATTTTAGACTATTTGTTACAATTACTTGAGTTCGATTTATTAAGTAAGACTGTATCCATTCATAAGGTTTCCCTCGTATTCCTAACCCATTCATCTTCAATAATAAAAGATTATGATCCACCATATCAAATGCACGGCTAAGGTCATAGAAGAGTCCCAAAATATGTTTTTTTTATCATTGAGTGCTTGATATATAAACTCTAGGCAAGCTGCAATTGCAGTAGATGTTGACTTATTTTTTCTAAATACATTTTGAGCATCTGGCAACATATTAAAACTTTCAAGGTAATTAGTGAGTCTAATAAAGTATGCTGATTCAAATATTATAGTTATTTGACTAGATACACAGATTAAATGATAATTGATAAATGATGTCGATATTAGTAAATATCCAAAGTTACGTTCGCTTTTGAAAAGAAAATCTGATGGTTTTAAAAGCCAAAAATCCAAAATTTTTTCGCCTGAAGACATAAAGACTTTCCTAAAGAATGCACCTGACTATAAATATTTAATAACAAAGGTAACGGAATTATTATTTTTATTTTAACAAATACTTAATACATAACTACTAATATTTGTAGGTAGCATTAGTTTTTGGATTATCTGGCGCTTGTCGTTGCCACGAAATAAAAGATTTAACAATAAGCGATGTAAAGGATACTGGAAGTATTCTGTTAGTTAAAATCCGTAATACAAAAACAAAAGTTCCGCGTTCTTTTCATATTTCTGGACCCTTTTATATTTCTAAAAAATATATGAGCCTACGTCCCGCAAACATGGATCAAATTAATTCAAGATTCTTTATTAACTATCAGAATGGAAAGTGTAGCAGACAGGTTGTTGGAATTAATAAAATCAGTAAATTTCCTAACGAAATTGCTCAGTTTTTAACGCTTCCGAATCCTCAAGATTACACTGGGCACTGTTTCCGCAGAACATCCGCAACGCTATTAGTGGATGCAGGAGGTGACTTGCTTCAGTTAAAAAAGCACGGTGGTTGGAAATCTAGTAGTGTTGCGGAAGGATATGTTGATGAATCCACGAACAGTAAAAACCAAATACAAACCAAAATTTTACAATCTGTACAAAATAAGGAAACTACTAGTTCATCCGATTATGGCGCATCATCATCTAAAATGACATTTAACAGTAGCACAAATATGTCGGCATCTACCTCAATAAATAAAAAGCTTGAGTGCGATACCCCATAATTTTGAACAATTGTTCAAATATAACAATAAATCAATATTTAAATAATAAATAATATTTCTGAAATATTTAATTGTTGGTTAATTTTTTGTTATTCCTAACACAAAATAAAGCATTTGCTAACGTTTGTTTTTTTTTTCATTTTAGTAGGTACCTACATGACATAATAGAGTTCGTAGAAAAAGTATAGTGTTTTACTCGTCGAAAATCATTTTTTTCGTCACTCGTGAAACAATATACTATTATTTACATTAATAAAATGGTCATTGATATAATTTACTTTTTCTAAAGGTGTTAATTTGTCATCATTTGTAAGTTTAATAGGATTCAATAAGTTGTTTTTTCTTTTTCCCCTACTCTCGTTTATTATATTCCAGGATTCTTTCATTAAGTTTTTATCTACTTTTTAAAATACGATCATTATTTTTTTTCTCAAATATTGTTTTGTTATTTTTTGATACTCTTTTTTTAAATTATTGTAACGTTTTGTATAATATGTAGAATTTATTTCTTTCTTTAACCTGTTCATTTCACATAATAGATTATGTAACTCTTTAATATGAGGTGGAAACTGATTTTTTAATTTTTGTGGTTTTATCGCTTTCTTTGTTTTCGTAAATACAATATTGTAGTAGTATAGGAATGATTCATAAAAAATAGAAAATTTATCATTAAAATTAGTAGATGTGTATACTTCACGCCAATTTTCAACTTATAAAATATTTATAAAAGTTATTGCATTAGGATCACTTAAATCTCGTTTATATCTGTATTTAAATTTGTTATTTTCAAAATTAGGTAGTTTAAACGAACATAATAAGTAGTTCAGACAAAAAGTATTATATACACCCACCTTATCTACATCAAAATTGGTAAAAAAATTATCTAAACAAGTTGAGGTTGTACTTGTTGTTCTTGTTGCAACATTTATATAATGTTTAATATTAAATTTTTTCAATAAGTCAATTAAAACAGTTTTTTTGATTACCTTCAATCAAAAAATCTACGTTAATATCACCACAGATAAAATAGTGATTGTCGTTTGATAAATATTATGAATTAATAGCTCTAGCTGATTTATAAAAGTGCTAAACTTAGTACAAGGTGGCTTATACACAGTAATAATAAATAAAAAAAGTTTAGAATCGATCTTTATTTTTCCACCACATACTTCAAATTCACCTTCTATACACCACCTATGTAAATTAATTGATTCAAAATTTACAGCAATACTTGTTTTCATAAATGTACTAACACCACCTTTTTCTTTATTTAACCGTGCAAAATATAATACTAGCTTAAAATGGTCAATTGAGGTAGCTTGTAAATTGTTAGAATCAAGCCAATGTTCAATAACAAATAGAGTACTTACATTTTGTTTCTGTAAAATTAAATTTAGATCAAAGCATTTATTGGAAAAACCTCTCTGTATATTGATATGCATTAAAGTAATATTTAACTGTTGGGAACTGCAAAATAGTAATTCATTATTTTCTTTCAAAAAGTGGTTTTCCATAGTAGTCCTTGAGGTTCCTATTTTATCAGGTTTGAAAAATTTTCTTCATTCTTATGCGATCTCTGGTTCTGTGAATCTTCAAGAAATCGCTGACCTTGTTTAAAGTTGAATCGGGAATAAATTATATTTTTCAGCCAAAAATCTGATTTACATATTTGCTCCTGAAAATGAGGATCTATTCCCACTAGACAAGCTTGATTATTCTTACAAAATATGTGTCTAGTTTCTTCACATAAATGTCTTCTGCCTTTATGAATGTATTTCTTAACATTCTCTTCATTTATAGTGTCTGATACTCTAGATACAAAGAGCCAAATATTTCGTTTTTTTCATTTTTAAGTTCAACTTTTAAGATTTCTATTTTTTCATTCATTAATTGGTTTGTTGGTTTTGTTCTTCTACTAGTAATTTTAAAAAGTTGTAAGCATCAATGCAAAATACATCACCTTTACTTTTTTCTTGATCCATAGTTTTAGATTTTTCAATAACTTTTGGTTTAAGCATCTCATGATAGCATTTACTCTTTGTGCACACGATGGATGATATTTCAAGTCACAGATTTCACATTTTACACTAGCAGTTACTGATTTTTTATAATAATTACACTCATCAGTATTTTGCGCGTGCGGTTCAGTCGGCGCCATCTCAAAACCTTATTTTATCTAAATTTTACAAATTCTGACTTACGCCCTTTGTACCTGACTTCAAAGCATTTAAGACGTCTATTAAATTAAAGATTTGAGTTTGTGATATTTTCAAAAAATAGTTATCAATTTCGTAAGCTAAGAACCTTTAATGGTATTATTTAGAGTTGTTGTGAATTAATTATGAAATTTTAAAAACCTCGTACTTTAAATTAGCTTTTATTTCAAAATATATAATTGACAACGTCTTTTTGTTATTTAAGGTATAGACTTCGTGTCTTTTATCATCCCAATCAGTGGTTATAAAGACAAATTTATAATAAGTATTGGTAGACAACTGGCTGTTGTAACATGGAACGGAGAAAGCAAAAATGTGTCTAACTTAGAATATATAGCTAAAATAGAGAATAATACCGAAACACTTGAAAACAGCTTTAATGATGCCAAATGTGATCCAGTCGGACGACTATGGGCAGGTAAGAAACATTCAGATTTCAAATACTATAGTCTATTTTTATGTATGAGAGAGTAATAAAACAGCATTTCTAATGTAAAACTTAGTACGGTCATTTTAAATATTTTTACAGAATAATCTAAATATTTCCTAAAATTGTAATAAATGTACCTGAGCTATTACAAATTTTGGGTCTTTTATTGGTCCTTTATAAACATAAGCTGTACATAACAATAGAAAAAGGTTTGGACAGGCCAAAAGCCCTGTGTATTAAAGATTACATAGCCGTATCTTAAGATGATTTTCAATAAGTACCTATTTGCCAATTTTGTTTTATTTTAATTCCAAGAATTTCTTACAGTAATCGAATTATAAGTAGATAAATACCTTCCCAACAAATTTCACCGAAAATGCGATTATAGGTTTTCCATTTAGTAAGGAGGTCCAAGTTGTGTATTCTTGACAGTTTACTAAATGTCGTTTAGTTGCAACTTGCAAGGTGCAGTGTGAATTCTAGTGTGATCATGGAAAATTTGGAAGGGCCGCGTAAACGACAAAAAATCGGTCCTTTAACAGTTAATGAAAAAACATTAATATTTAATTGTTTTAAATCATTTACAGACAAACATTTATGTAAAAGTATTGATGACACAGTGGAAGTAGTTAGTAGTACGATTGGTGTTGGGAAATCTACGATTTACAGAGTTGTTAAAGAAGAGAAATGTGGCGAGTTTCAAACAGCACGTAAAGCTCCAGGAAAACCAAAATTTCAATTAGAACATCTTTTGAAAGAAAGACTTCGAAGGAAAGTGCATGCGTTCTTCTTTAGAAAAGAATTTCCGACAGTAGACAAAGTTCTTGCCACGGTTCGAGATAATAAGGATTACCCTGAAATGAGTCGAAGCACACTATGGAAAATAGGTTTTCTATGGAAAAAGCATTCCAGAAAGTCTATTTTAATAGAAAGAAGCGATATTGTAGTATGGAGAAGAAATTACCTAAGGACTATAAAAGAAATGCGAAACCAAAGAAGAAATATATTTTATTTAGATGAAACATGGATCAACGAGGGACATAAACCAAATACATTTTGGCAAGATGAAACTGTTACAAGTCAAAGACATGCTTTTTTAAATAATTTATCTACTGGTTTAAATCCACCATCAGGAAAGGGGCGCAGACTAATAATAGTACACATCGGTAGTTCAAACGGTTTTGTTAAAGGTGGTTTATTACTCGTACCGGTGACTACCATGAGGAAATGAATGCTGATGTCGAACAAATTATAGATTTTCTTCTTCTTCAGAACTGTATAATAGTAATGGATAATGCAAGTTATCACTCGAGACTTACAGAAAAAATGCCCACAACCAAGTGGTTAAAAAAAGATTTACAGAATTGGCTAAATTCAAAGAATATTAAGTTCCATCCCGGTTCTGTGAGAAAAGAACTGTATCATTTGTGTTCCCTTCATAAAGAGAAATTCAAAAAATATGAAATTGATGAAATTGCAAAAATCGTGGGATGACGGTGGTTAGATCACTACCATATCATTGCGAAGTAAACCCGATTGAACTCATATAGGCACAGATAAAGGGAGAAGTTTCAAGAAAAAATTATTCTTTTAAAATGAATGATGTTAAACAGTTGTTTTTGGAGGCTATAAATAATGTGAAGCCTGAAAACTGGAAAAAGGCAGTAAATCATACGATTAAAGAAGAAGATAAAATGTGGAAGTTGGACAATATTACTGATGAAATGATCGAGCCACTCATTGTAAATATTGGTTGCGACAGTTCATCTTCTGATTTCGATTCTGATTTGGATTTGTAGGTAAGAAGTAGTTTTTATATTAAAATTATTATTTATGAACGTAACGTTGTTTAAAAGTCAAAGTTTAAACCCTTATACCTACATAACCCGTTTGACACAATGTTCTTAACATACCTTGTGGAAAAATAAAACATTTTAGAAAAAATTGCACTTTTTTACCTTCAGCTGTTTAGAAGTTATAAGCAGGTTAATTAGGTGAAAATATAAGTGTATACTCGAGGAATAACTTCAAAAAATATTTTAACTGTCTACTAAAAGAAGTGATACGCCTATGGATTACGAACGCTTTATTATTTTAATACTCTCTCATACATAAAAAAAAACTATAGTATGATGTGTCTTTGTCTACTGATAATATAAAAACATTTAAAACATTTTCGGAAATTTTGATTAATTTTCTCGTTAATTTTTAAATGTAATTTTTAGGTACCATGGGTGAATTGCTTCCAGGCGGTGACATCGCACCAGAAAAAGGTGCACTATACAGATATGATAATGGATATCTTAATATGCAAGTAAATAAAGTGGGTATTTCTAATGGTCTTGCTTGGAGGTCGGACGGAAAGAAAATGTACTATGTTGACACTCAAAAAGAAACAGTTGACCAATTCGACTATGATATTATAACTGGAAAAATATGTAAGCATGAATTTATGTATGCCCCAAAACTGTAGGTTAGTATTTATAAGAAAAATCTTACTTTTTACTTTCGGTTTTCAGCTAATAGGAAGATACTTTTTACTGTTAGAAAACACAACATCCCAGGACGACCTGATGGTATGACCATAGATTCAGACAACAATCTTTGGGTAGCCATGTTTACCGGAGGCAGAATCCTCAAAATTTCTACACAAAAACCTGAGTCGCTTTTACAAGTCTATCACATTCCTGCCAAGCAGGTAAAAATAAAAAAATAGAAAACTATTCTGAATAAGATAACCACATTCATTTTGTTTTTAGGTTACATCCGTCACATTTGGAGGACCAAAATTACAAGATCTCTATGTAACTACTGGCAAAATTTCCCTTCACGGCGAAGTACTCAATCCTCCAGAAAATGGTGGCACTTTCAGAATTACTGGATTAGGCATTACAGGTACTCCAGGGGTTTCAGTTCGGTTGTAACTTTTGTTATTATTTTAAAACTTATTTTAAAGTGATTGACTGTAAGACTTATTTTAATAATGGTATTCTGAGACGTTTATTTTGACAATTATAATAATAAATGTGTTTTATAAATTTGTAATTTTATTAAAACCTAGTAATAGTTATAAATTCCAAAACGGAACTTTTATTTTAAAAAATTTTATTAAGTGAAAATACACTCAAATGGATATCTAAGACAACTCTGTACTAAAACTACCTCAAAATAAGAACAATAATAAAGTTCTACTCCTATTTATAAAGTAAAAAATCATTATTTAACAAATATAATCTATTTATATCAGAAAAGAGTCTATTATATTCTCAATATATAACTCTCTTTACATATGAGTCATACGCATTATTATTCAATTAACACTTATGATACTTAGCCGACGAAATCTCGTCGAGTTCGCGTATGACGTATTGTGGTGTGGAATATATTAATATATTTATTTTTGCGCGTTTTTCATCACCGTGACGTATAGCATAAATCTGGGTAATATCATACCTTCTTTTTATTGTATCATGGCTTTCACCCCTGAAATATGATTTTAGATGTTTTCATTGGAAGCCATTTTAAACTTGAAATGTGCTAGTAAATATGGCAAGTAATAAAGAGTTATTCACAAAAAAATGTTTCTAAAGCAGGCCATGATCGACAAAGATAAATATATAACTTACTAACAAACAATAAGTGTTGGACAAAATTTTTCTCTTTCATCAATAAAATTTTCACACAAAAAACTGAATTAGCATTAGGAATGGCCTTTACCTCTATCACCCATACTAGCTGTCATTTTTATGCAAAATTTCGAGAAGATTAATATCCTAAATAACAAATCTGATATTTACCGTATTATACAGGATGTCCCAGAACTCGTCTCCCCAATGGAAACTCTAGATATTAGATTTAACCTAATTACCTTAATACGAATATACACCATAAGGGAGCTAGAGTTTTTGGAAGTTTTAGCCTTCGAGTTAATTTTTTTCAAACATACCTCAAAAGTTTAAACAAAATAAATTCTAATATCTATGGTTTTCAATTATTTATTGTTTCGGCCTTTACTTGATGAAAATCCATATTATCTTAAATGAGTAAAACCAAATTTGGTAGATTTTCACAAAACTTTTATTTAAAACTACACATGACATGTATCGAAGTACAACTTCTTTTTCAAGTGTGACTAATTTACAGTTCGGTGTCCAATATATATGCGAAGTAATTTAACCAAACAAAGTAATTAAGAAAATACATCAATAACATAACAAAATAAACTGACTATTTAAAGTAAATAAGGGTACCTACTTAAGTAATTATGATATCAATCAGATAACAATAAGATAGAGTATCATTACCGGGATTATCTCACAGAAAACTAGGAAAGAGATTTAATAAAGGTGAGTTATTAATATGTAATTGATCAAATTTCTCTAATAGAAAAAGGGTTTAAACACAACATCGCACCTAAGATAAATACTTCGAACTTAGAACTTTTAGGAATAGAAACAGAAATCGCTTTAAAAGATTCATATAATAATTTGTCTCATAAATATCATACTGCGAACATAAAACACAATTTTTACATAATAACAATTCAAATCAAGATAGTAAGTTAATTAAAACTATAAAGGATGAAGCAAAACAGGATAATATCATTTTCACTCGTACTGACAATTGCTATTAATAATATAGATTATATTGACAAAACTCTTTCATTTTTACAAGCAAGCAATAATTATAACATACTTAAATTTGATCAGGATTAATATTCAGGATTCAACAGCAATTTTTGATTCTAGAGAAAAATTCAAACTAATACAAATGAACCCTCAACCACCACAACTTTATTCTTTAATAAAATTACACAAAGAGAACTACCCTATTAGACCAGTTGTGTCATTTGTCTCGGCTCCATCAGTTAAACTTTCACATAGATTAATTAAACTTATACAAGAAAACTGCAAATTCCATTCAAAGTACAGTATAAAAAATTCTTATGAATTAACAGAAAAATTAAAAAACATTAATTACCTAGTAACACAAAATTAGTATCATTCGATGTAACAAACTTATTTCTTAGTTTACCCCTAAAGAAACAGTTAAGATAGTAGAAAACTTATTAGATCGTAATCAAGTCAATATTATAATCAAAGAAGAAATCCTAAATTTCTTAAACATTTATATCATTTTACAGGCCACCAAGTTCAAATTTGCATGATTTTATTGAAGGTTTATATAGATTTCTCGAAGATGACGAAATTAGCATCTTCATAGGTGATATAAACATTAACTTGCTATCACCTGAGGAAAATACTTGCGTAGAATATCTAAACATACTTACTGAATTTGGATACACTTCTACTATAAACGAAGCCACTAGAGTTCAAGGTAATAGTAAATCATGTTTGGATCATATCTTTCTTCGAACAAAAAACTACGTCAGTGATAAACTAATTCCTTTAGTTCTTAAAAGCCAAATAACAGATCATTTCACTACAATTCTGCAAGTCATGTTAGGAAAAGAAACAGAATTTGAAAAATATAAAGATACCTATTCAACTTTTATTAACACAAATAAACTAAATAATATATTTCAAAATATGTGTTGGCTCCCTGTATATAATTCTGACGATCCAGATACTGCAACGAACAATTTCTTAATATAATTTAAGTGAGTCTTGCATCATGTGCGGAAAGGCGCCTAAATCGAAGAAAGAATGTTATGATCCAACAGATAAATATAAAAAAAAACTAAAACGTAATATTCAGGATTCAACAGCAATTTTTGATTCTAGAGAAAAATTCAAACTAATACAAATGAACCCTCAACCACCACAACTTTATTCTTTAATAAAATTACAGAAAGAGAACTATCCTATTAGACCAGTTGTGTCATTTGTCTCGGCTCCATCAGTTAAACTTTCACACACATTAATTAAACTTATACAAGAAAACTGCAAATTCCATTCAAAGTACAGTATAAAAAATTCTTATGAATTAACAGAAAAATTAAAAAACAGTAATTACCTAGTAACACAAAATTAGTATCATTCGATGTAACAAACTTATTTCTTAGTATACCCCTAAAAAAACAGTTAAGCTAGTAGAAAACTTATTAGATCGTAATCAAGTCAATATTATAATCAAAGAAGAAATCCTAAATTTCTTAAACATTTATATTATTTTACAGGCCACCAAGTTCAAATTTGCATGATTTTAATGAAGATTTATATAGATTTCTCGGAGATGACGAAATTAGTATCTTCATAGGTGATATAAACATTAACTTGCTATCACCTGAGGAAAATACTTGCGTAGAATATCTAAACATACTTACTGAATTTGGATACACTTCTACTATAAACGAAGCCACTAGAGTTCAAGGTAATAGTAAATCATGTTTGAATCATATGTTTCTTCGAACAAAAACTACGTCAGTGATAAACTAATTCCTTTAGTTCTTAAAAGCCAAATAACAGATCATTTCACTACAATTCTGCAAGTCATGTTAGGAAAAGAAACAGAATTTGAAAAATATAAAGATACCTATTCAACTTTTATTAACACAAATAAACTAAATAATATATTTCAAAATATGTGTTGGCTCCCTGTATATAATTCTGACGATCCAGATACTGCAACGAACAATTTCTTAATATAATTTAAGTGAGTCTTGCATCATGTGCGGAAAGGCGCCTAAATCGAAGAAAGAATGTTATGATCCAACAGATAAATATAAAAAAAAACTAAAACGTAATATTCAGGATTCAACAGCAATTTACGATTCTAGAGAAAAATTCAAACTAATACAAATGAACCCTCAACCACCACAACTTTATTCTTTAATAAAATTACACAAAGAGAACTATCCTATTAGACCAGTTATGTCATTTGTCTTGGCTCCATCAGTTAAACTTTCACACACATTAATTAAACTTATACAAGAAAACTGCAAATTCCATTCAAAGTACAGTATAAAAAATTCTTATGAATTAACAGAAAAATTAAAAAACATTAAATTACCTAGTAACACAAAATTAGTATCATTCGATGTAACAAACTTATTTCTTAGTATACCCCCTAAAGAAACAGTTAGGCTAGTAGAAAACTTATTAGATCGTAATCAAGTCAATATTATAATCAAAGAAGAAATCCTAAATTTCTTAAACATTTATATCATTTTACAGGCCACCAAGTTCAAATTTGCATGATTTTAATGAAGATTTATATAGATTTCTCGAAGATGACGAAATTAGCATCTTCATAGGTGATATAAACATTAACTTGCTATCACCTGAGGAAAATACTTGCGTAGAATATCTAAACATACTTACTGAATTTGGATAAAATTCTACTATAAACGAAGCCACTAGAGTTCAAGGTAATAGTAAATCATGTTTGGATCATATCTTTCTTCGAACAAAAAACTACGTCAGTGATAAACTAATTCCTTTAGTTCTTAAAAGCCAAATAACAGATCATTTCACTACAATTCTGCAAGTCATGTTAGAAAAAGAAACAGAATATGAAAAATATAAAGACACCTTTTCAACTTTTATTAATACAAATAAACTAAATAATATATTTCAAAATATGTGTTGGCTCCCTGTATATAATTCTGACGATCCAGATACTGCAACGAACAAATTTCTTAATATAATTTAAGTGAGTCTTGCATCATGTGCGGAAAGGCGCCTAAATCGAAGAAAGAATGTTATGATCCAACAGATAAATATCAAAAACAACTAAAACGTAATATTCAGGATTCAACAGCAATTTTTGATTCTAGAGAAAAATTCAAACTAATACAAATGAACCCTCAACCAACACAACTTTATTCTTTAATAAAATTACACAAAGAGAACTATCCTATTAGACCAGTTGTGTCATTTGTCTCGGCTCCATCAGTTAAACTTTCACATACATTAATTCAACTTATACAAGAAAACTGCAAATTCCATTCAAAGTATATTATAAAAAATTCTTATGAATTAACAGAAAAATTAAAAAACATTAAATTACCTAGTAACACAAAATTAGTTTGGTATCGTTCGATGTAACAAACTTATTTCTTAGTATACCCCTAAAGAAACAGTTAAGATAGTAGAAAACTTATTAGATCGTAATCAAGTCAATATTATAATCAAAGAAGAAATCCTAAATCTCTTAAACATTTATATCATTTTACAGGCCACCAAGTTCAAATTTGCATGATTTTAATGAAGATTTATATAGATTTCTCGAAGATGACGAAATTAGCATCTTCATAGGTGATATAAACATTAACTTGCTATCACCTGAGGAAAATACTTGCGTAGAATATCTAAACATACTTACTGAAGTTGTACTTCGAAACATGTCATGTGTAGTGTTTTTAATTTTTTTATTTTATTTTTTTTTTTTTAAATAAAAGTTTTGTGAAAATCTACCATCTATGGTTTCCGTTGGGCGTGCGAATTTTGGGACATCCCCTATACTTAATTAATTTCGCTTAACACCAATGGATTTTTTATTTACGCCGCCAATGGTATAGAAAATCGTCTGATAACGATATACGATAACTTAAGTGAGCATTTACAAGTTACACGCACGCGATGTGTTAAAGCGAGACAAGATTATAATACACAATAAAAATAAAATACCGCTGCTATTTGAGATTTAAAATAGTCTTCTATAGAGTACCAAAGAGAAAGGAATTTATACCAACTCGCACTTAAAAATCGAAGGTTAACTTTAAAAAAATCAGGTAAATTATTTACATACCTATGTTCTTCTTACTTTCGTTTAAAGAACTAATATAAAATAATATGGAAACTTTTCCAAGGGGTTTTGGTCTTACTTGCTGCTTCGGTGTTGCTAGTTTTGATATAAATTAAAAATAACCACTATAGTAGTAGCGATAGCATATCAAAAGGTTGGTGAATGGTGTTGCATTGATCACCATGGGCGAAGTTATGTCATCAGATTTGGGGGGGCTAAAGCCCTAGCCCAAGTCATATAATATATAATAGTTCTAGAGGTATACTGAAGTTAAGTAAAAAAATTCTGGCAAATCTATGAAAATGGATAAAATATCATATAATATATAGTTGTATTAAGTGAAAAATTTTCATCACAAAAATTTTCCTCATTTTCGCAGTCATGAAATAATAGTTTGTGCAACAAGAGTAGATATGGACAATCCACTCGAGTTATACAGTATAGTTTTTCTACGAACCACTAACGAAAATTTACAAATTTAAAAAAATAGTTTAGTTTTAGACAAAATAACTAATTTTAAAATAATTTATGAATTTTATTAATTCATAAAATAAAATAAACATAAAAAAAATTAGCCCCTAGTCCAGATTCGAATCCAGGCTATTCGCGTGGAAGGCAGATGCTCTGTCCTCAGTTCCATCGTCATTTTTAGGTTTTTAGTTTTAATACTCGTAATTAGATTAGTTTCATACAATTTGATTAAAATTGATTTTTTTAATGTGGCCCAAATAAAAATAAAAATGCTATTTTTTATCGATTCTAAACAAAAATATCTAATTTTAACGTATATGTAATCTTAATGATTAAAAATTAAAAAATATGAACTGTAATTGATGGATTTCATTTTTTTTGCAGTGTTCTATGTTATGTTATTTTGGGAATGGGGTGTTAATACACTGCGACCTAAAAGATTTATTGTACCCCCTTCTGGTTCTGTCGCTAATGCAGCAAGGAAATGTCTCAATGCCTATTCGCGATTCAAATTAATTTTCGCGCGCCTGTCATTTGTCACCTATAAGTAGGATGTTTGTTTATTTACATGTGTTTGTTTTGGACGGATTTTGTATTTGTGATTTTTTTAAACTGTTTTTAGATAATATTCTCATTGTAATAGTGTTTTTGAGTTTCATTTAATGTTAATTTTTATCATGTGTATGACTTAATTTGTTGGAAATATTCACCTATTGGTTGCTACAAGAATATTTAGAAATACGTATTTACTAAACCCAGGACATGTTTTATTATGTGGTTTAAAGGACATTTCAGGTACCAAACGTTTATTATTGTTGAAATTATATCTTACTAGACTTATTCTTATATTATGAAGTGAATTATGTAATACTTTGTATACATGTAAATGGTATTAAAACCGTCACAAATCAGATTACAGTTTCGATTCTAAACAAAGTTTTGCAAAATTTTAATATTGTGAATTTGTAGATATCCATTTATGGTAAAAAACAAAACTTTACGACTTGCATTTGGAAAATAATGAATACTTCAGTTTTGATTTTGACATTAACACAATATAGATTGCAATTTGCTGGGGACTTTTTCGCAGATTTCATTTTTAATATAAACACTATCACATACTATAAGAAATAAACAAATTTAAAGCTAAAAAGTAAAAAAAAACTCGAATTGTAATTGATACAAATTAAAATGTAGGTAAACAATAAACGCCAATATTGCCAAATGATGAACTGATTTTAATACAAAATTAATAATTGAACTGAAATTTAAAAAATCAATATAATAAATCGGTTTAATAAAAAAATCCTTAAATAAATATACAGTATGATTACATATTATTATACACAAATTTTGATTCTTAAATAAAAGATCTTGTCCACTTCTTCAAGAGCTAAAATCCGACGACGTAGCGAAATTTTGCTAGTTTTGGCAACACTGAACGATATCCTACTTATAGGGACCTTCTACAAATTTCCTCCAGATGGCGTATCACTTAGCTTTAATCGCGAATAACGACCCTTCCAGTTATATCTTCTCAAGGAAATGTAGGATTTGGAGTGGCTTCAAGTTAGGTATAGCGCCTTTGGATTCTGGAGTGCTACACATTCAGAATGTGAATGAATGTTTATTCCTCCTCCTTACAGAATCTGCAGTCACTAGCTTCTACTACTCTCAGTTTACTAAGGTGTCCTTTTAGTTGGCAATGCCCAAGTGTTATCACTACTAGAAAAATGTATGTTATGATAACAGCTTAAAATACAATCTGGCTTATGTGGAACATCCCGAAATACGGTTTCATAACCGAAACAGGAACCAAATTTCGGCTCCTTTCTTAGTTTCGACCGAAACCGAAACAGAAACAAGAACTTTCTTTTAAGGCAATCTCTTATTGAAATTTGCAATATCTTATTGTAATCCTTGTTTTAGACTAATTAACTCGTATTATAAATTTTAGCTACATTTACTTATTACCTATTTATTTATGTGATCAAAAGAAGCCATTAATAAATTTATTGACATGTTCACTTGAAACAAAGCAGATAAGTTTGTGTGTACGTGCACTGTGTAGGAATGGCACCCGGCACAGTCGGCATTGTGCCGGACACAACCAATTATAAAACGAAAACTTTTAAAAGTAGTTTCGTTGTCGGCTGCAATTTCGGCCAGTTTTCCGCCGAAACCGAAACTGTAGTCGAAACTCTTATTTAAAGCCAAAGTTGGCCGAAACCGTAACCACTCCTTCGGTCATACAAAAGTGGGCAAAAAATTTCTGATAATAATTTAGGCACGTGTGGTATTGGGTAAGAAAGTTTTACACCAAAAAATACAAATTTAAAAACTTTACAGATATGCATTAAAACGACTAAAATCAAATAAAAAAACATATGTTTTATATGCTGTGGCCATACCATGACCATTTGCCATATTTAAAGTCGTTTAGTTGACGCGAAAAACCTAATTATTATTAAAATAAATGTACTGTATTTCTACCTAGTTATAATTTGTATTAAATAAAATATTAACCACTGAAATGGCAAATTTTTTAATCACACTATTGCGTTGCGTCGTAATATTATATGCATGAAAGAGCTGCTCAACTGTCAAAAAAATTTTAAGTATAATTTCGTTCAGGGTACCCACCAAAAGAAACATTTCCGGAAATTTTTCTGGTTGTCATAGAAGCGTTTTAAAATAACAGCATTTGATTGGCTATAAAATAGAGGTGTAAAATTATAATTTAATCTATCACGTGACAAATTTTCAAACCCGGTAAAATAAAAGCAAAAATATTATATTTTTTCGATTTAGAAGATGTTACCAGACTCATTAGCCTATTTCGTAAATCAGCCAGACTTATTATTATTCATAATTGTATCAATTTTATATGCTTAATTTTCTGCCACACTCACTTTTCACTATCTAAGATAATCCAAACTGCTATTTTTATAAGCTTTATGTTCTAGTTTAGTAAATGTAAAATAATTATGACTGGGAAAATAAGTGTCAGACTCAAAAATTTTGTTTTTGTCCCTAAGAGAACAATTTATTTTTTATTTTTATTTTCACTAGAAAAATGAATACGAAAAAAATTCACTGCCTCCTAAACTAAATGTAAAATTGCAGAATCAATTTATTTTATTTTTTAATTTCTGTTCTGAAATCTGAAATGTATGAATGGATGTGCGATAAATGTTCGAACTATTTTTGGGGGGGCTAATTTGGTTTTTGGGGGGGCTTAGCCCCCCCAAGCCCCCCCTTAACTTCGCCCATGTTGATCACAGTAACATACTTTTCTTAATAATCTTAAAAACATCATAAACTTAAGATATAACATATATTAATCATACTATTCACATCACAAATTGTATCATATTTCTAAATATTATGTACAGTGTATTTATTTGAGTTGGAACGATATGGAAGATATTTTTATTAGTTTTACAAAAAAAAAATTACTCCTTATAAAAATTTTTGTATAGTCTAGAATCTATAATGAAATTATGAGATATCAAAATTAATTAGTCATATAATTTTTGAGAAAGAAGACAATATCGAAAGTTGTAATAAAGTAAAATAAGTTATTTATTATAAACAACATTTAAATTATGCAATAATATCCCTTTATCTTGAAAAATCAGATTTTATTTTTTACAAATTTTTCTACATACAATTTAAATTTTTCTCCAACTTTTAATATGCTAATATTGTTAAACGAGCCAGGAATAGTAGGTACTCATTTCTTACTAGAATTGGTACTGATACAGAAAAAAAAGTATTCGACTACCGGATATGGATACTTTTTAAAAAATAATGAATAATTTCGCCTAAAAAATGTAATCGAACACAAATCTCAGGATACTTCTAATAATTCCATTTCATACCACTTTTTTATAACAATTTTCAATATTGTCAAAAATTGCAACAAATGTATATTTTGTGACATACCCCGTATATGACAGAGAAATTTTGATGTCCGAAGATTTCATTATAAGTTTTCAAACCAAGCAAAACTTTTTATAAGTAATAATTTCTTCTTGTAAAAATAAATAAAAAAGTTTTCCATATTATAATTCCAACTCATTAAGTAGACACTTTATATAACAATAGTTTTTGGGTAGTTACGCCAATGGAAGTTTTTCCTTTATGTTCACTTAAAATAAATTAGCCTTTCTCTAACTAAAAATATAAACTTGACCTTAAACAAAAGAAGGTAGATATATAATATAATATAATGATAAATTTTATTAATTGATAATAATAGTTAGTCTTTTTTTATGTATGAGAGAGTATTAAAATAATAAAGCGTTCGTAATCCATAGACGTACCACTTCTTTTAGTAGACAGTTAAAATATTTTTTGAAGTTATTCCTCGAGTATACACTTATATTTTCACCTAATTAACCTGCTTATAACTTCTAAACAGCTGAAGGTAAAAAAGTGCAATTTTTTCTAAAATGTTTTATTTTTCCACAAGGTATGTTAAGAACATTGTGTCAAACGGGTTATGTAGGTATAAGGGTTTAAACTTTTACTTTTAAACAACGTTACGTTCATAAATAATAATTTTAATATAAAAACTACTTCTTACCTACAAATCCAAATCAGAATCGAAATCAGAAGATGAACTGTCGCAACCAATATTTACAATGAGTGGCTCGATCATTTCATCAGTAATATTGTCCAACTTCCACATTTTCTCTTCTTCTTTAATCGTATGATTTACTGCCTTTTCCCAGTTTTCAGGCTTCACATTATTTACAGCCTCCAAAAACAACTGTTTAACATCACTCATTTTAAAAGAATTATTTTTTCTTGAAACTTCTCCCTTTATCTGTGCCCATATCAGTTCAATCGGGTTTACTTCGCAATGATATGGTGGTGATCTAACCACCGTCATCCCACGATTTTTTGCAATTTCATCAATTTCATATTTTTTTGAATTTCTCTTTATGAAGGGAACACAAATGATACAGTTCTTTTCTCACAGAACCGGGATGGAACTTAATATTCTTTGAATTTAGCCAATTCTGTAAATCTTTTTTTAACCACTTGGTTGTGGCCATTTTTTCTATAAGGCTCGAGTGATAACTTGGATTATCCATTACTATTATACAGTTCTGAGGAAGAAGATCTATAATTTGTTCGAACCACTCTTTAAAGACATCAGCATTCATGTCCTCATGGAAGTCACCGGTACGAGTAGATTCAAAAGTCAATAAACCACCTTTAACAAAACCGTTTGAACTACCGATGTGTACTATTATTAGTCTGCGCCCCTTTCCTGATGGTGGATTTAAACCAGTAGATAAATTATTTAAAAAAGCCTGTCTTCGACTTGTAACAGTTTCATCTTGCCAAAATTTATTTGGTTTATGTCCCTTGTTGATCCATGTTTCATCTAAATAAAATATATTTCTTCTTTGGTTTCTCATTTCTTTTATAGTCCTTAGGTAATTTCTTCTCCATACTACAATATCGCTTCTTTCTATTAAAATAGACTTTCTGGAATGCTTTTTCCATAGGAAACCTATTTATCTAATTAAAAGTTTCCATAGTGTGCTTCGACTCATTTCAGGGTAATCCTTATCATCTCTACTGTCGGAAATTCTTTTCTAAAGAAGAACGCATGCACTTTCCTTCGAAGTCTTTCTTTCAAAAGATTTTCTAATAGAAATTTTGGTTTTCCTGGAGCTTTACGTGCTGTTTGAAACTCGCCATATTTCTCTTCTTTAACAACTCTGTACATCGTAGATTTCCCAACACCAAGCATACTACTAACTAATTCCACTGTGTCATCAACACTTTTACATAAATGTTTGTCTGTAAATGATTTAAAACAATTTAATATTAATTTTTTTTCATTAACTGTTAAAGGACCGATTTTTTGTCGTTTATGCGGCCCTTCCAAATTTTCCATGATCACACTAAAATTCACACTGCACCTTGCAAGTTGCAACTAAACAACATTTAGTAAACTGTAAAGAATACACAACTTGGACCTTCTTACTAAATGGAAAACCTATAATCGCATTTTCGGTGAAATTTGTTGGGAAGGTATTTATCTACTTATAATTCGATTACTGTAAGAAATTCTTGGAATTAAAATAAAACAAAATTGGCAAATAGGTACTTATTGAAAATAATCTTAAGATACGGCTATGTAATCTTTAATACACAGGGCTTTTGGCCTGTCCAAACCTTTTCTATTGTTCTGTACAGCTTATGTTTATAAAGGACCAATAAAAGACCCAAAACTTGTAATAGATCAGGTACATTTATTACAATTTTAGGAAATATTTAGATTATTCTGTAAAAATATTTAAAATGACCGTACTAAGTTTTGCATTAGAAATGCTGTTTTATTACTCTCTCATACATAAAAATAGACTATAAAACAAAATCAATTTCCTGAAAATATTTAGTTATGGACAGTGACGGCGGCTCTTACGAAACTGCATCCCAAAAAAGGGTTTCTTACCTTTGTGTCAAAATCGTTTTAAATGTCTCTATCTTATCTTTTTGAGCACTACCTATATTTATTGATATTATAATTTAAAAAAATTTTAAACGCCACTAACTCCATTTTATTGGTCCTTGTTTACTAACATCCCTGTAACTTCTATCTATTTTTTATACAAGCACTTTAGCTTGAATCGACCTCAGAAACTGTTCGTAAATATACTGTACATATTTTTGTTACACCCTGTATGTACCAGTGGGATCTAGAGATTATTCAATGGAAAACATATACATACGGCAGTGGAAACAACGACTATATACATTCTGTCGAATATATCCACCCTTGGTAAAAAAAAACTACTTGATATTTATTAAAACACAATTCTAATTCATAGATTTAATTCAAAATGGCGTGCAAACTTTGAAAAATTAAGAAAAAATATCGTTCGAAGGTTATTAAAAAAAATCAAAGTTTCTTTCCCCTAACTTTTATAATTTCCAGAAATGTTTACAAAAATCGGACCAAAATTAAAGGCTGAGAGGTTATTCAAAATTTTTCAAGGTGTTTCTACTCTTACTAAACAACAAATTAACTACTATTTTCTTGTTGTGGTGGTTATAACTCTAAATCGTATTCAGAAACCGTTTCACCAACTTCTTGAGTTTATCGTTACAGATTTTTAAAAATGCCATGCAGGAAGGTTTCAATATTATTACTCTTCTATTTATATTATTGCAATGGGCAAAATTTCAGCGCGAAGATGAATCCTACCGTTGAAAGATTGAAAAGCGTTCCCGCAACTGAACTTGGCGAAGGACCTCATTGGGATGCGGAGTCTCAAAGTTTATATTTTGTTGATATTTTTGGGAAATCTATACACAAGTATGTACCAGCAACCGATAAACATACCAAAGCAGTCATCGGTGAGTTTTAAATATTTCTCTTCTTACGTCGAGCGAGAGAAGAAGTACTATGGATTAAATCCAAACTGGCATTACTGGTTATCATAAAATGAGGAAAAATACGTTTGATGTCTTTGTTTGCGTTTTCTTGTATTTTAACCAGCAAATTTTCTTTCTTACCCTATTTTTATACTTTATTTTGATTACAGGCCTTAACCACGTAAGCTTAATAGTACCAGTGAGAGGTGAACAAAATAAATATTTAATAAGTATCGGAAGAGAACTGGCTGTTGTAACATGGGATGGAGAAAGTGAAAAAGTGGCAAAAATAGAAAAAATAGTAGAAATAGAAAATGATCCCGAAACTATTGACAATAGATTTAATGATGGAAAATGTGATCCATCTGGTCGGTTATGGGCAGGTAAGTAGGCGTCTGAACAAAGCCTTACACAAGAGTGTACTAACTAAAATAACTTTGGCAAGGACCGTTAGAGAATGAAGAAATCTTTCAAATGAGATATCACAACACATACTTTGATTTTCTCTTACTATACGGAGAATGGTCGCACTGCGCAGCTTTCTAAGTGCCTTTTAAAAGGAGATAGAAAACTCCGCCATTTTGATGCCTTATTACGTGTTGCCTACATCTTGGCGCAATATTTTTAATAGGTGCGTTTTAATCATCCGCTTCTGCTTCGGAATTGTCGGTTTCTTGTTTTAATCTAATAGGTTAAAACGACTAAACCGATAATTCCGGAAGCAGAAGCGGATGATTAAAACACACCTGATATTTTGCTTGCTGCTATCAGTGTCAGTAAATATTATTTTTGGAATCCCAGTTCATTGCTAAAGAATTAGTTACCTCACTTGGACCAGTTGAAAGTTCCAAAATAACATCCATTTCAGAGATACAAATTCAGGATACGCAGAAGACTGCTGTTTTATTATAGGCGGTTGTCATATATTGTATTATCCGAGTTGCGCAGTGTATAAACTGGAACATTGAGATCAAAAGTGCCGCCGCAGAGTGAGCGAACTGATTCTTTAGCTATAAACTGTGGTAAAGGCATCAAAATGGCCGCGCCCTATGTTGGGCGTGTCCACCACATACTTTGATTACTATACGGGGCAAGAGAGAGGTCCGATAAGCCCAACATAGGGCGCGGCCATTTTGATTCCTATGACACAGTTTATAGCTAAAGAATCAGATCGCTCACTCTGCGTCGGCACTTTTGATCTCAATGTTCCAGTTTATACACTGCGCAACTCGGATAATACAATATATGACAACCGCCTATAATAAAACAGCAGTCTTCTGCGCATCCTGAATTGTATCCCTGGAGTGGATGTTATTTTAGAACTTTCAACTGGTCCGAGTGAGCTAACTGATTCTTTAGCAATAAAGTGTGACTCCCAAAATAATATTCACTGACACTGACAGCAGCAAGCAAAATATCAGGTGCGTTTTAATCATCCGCTTCTGCTTCCGGAATTGTCGGTTCAGTCGTTCTAACCTGTCAGATTAAAACAAGAAAACCGACAATTCCGAAGCAGAAGCGGATGATTAAAACGCACCTATTAAAAATATTGCGCCAAGATGTAGGCAACACGTAATAAGAGGCGGAGTTTTCCTCAGAGTAAGTAAGGAGTTGGGGGGTGGGTGGCTCAGTGGTTAGAGCCTGTGCCTGTGGATCCAAGGGTCCCAGGTTCGAATCCCACCGTTGGCCGGAATTTTTTCATTTAATTTAATTATTTAAAATTAATTCTGATGCCTTGGTAGGATTCCCCCTCGACCATTCACTGTTGGGTTCTAATTAACAGTGCTGTTCCTAAAGTGGCGCTGGGAAACAGTAACAAAGCCTACACAGAACACACATGATTGAGAATGTAAACACAAATTTGAGACTGGCATATTAGGTATATACACCTAGGCCATAAATCGAAAAGAAAAAAAAAAAAAAAGTAAGGAGTTTTCTATCACCTTTTAAGAGGCACTCAGAAAGTTGCGCAGTGCGACCATTCTCTGTATAGTAAAAGAAAATCAAAGTATGTGATAACTACTGAAAAAAGACTGAAAATAAAAACACTTGACAATGACTCAACTGACAACTATCTGGATACAACATTGGGAAAAGTCTACCATAAAAAGCACTGACAACTCTTATGTTGATCCTGAGAAAATGGCGACGCAATCGACGCAGTTTCGGTGTAAATAATTAATGACATATATCAGAATATTTGTCAAGTTTGATTTCAATTTAACAAAACAAAATTAAATGTGAATTAATAAAAAAAATGTTTGTTAAAGAAAAGGAACAAACCAAGAAAATGGCAGTATTTTTGAATGGCAAACATTTTTTCAAACAATCTCAAAATGGTGCAAATATTTATACTTAAAAGTGTAATCTAAAATTTAATTTATTAATCAAACTTTTAATGCAACTTATTCACTGGAACTCAATAGATAATTTAATAAAGTATAATGTGTATTTAGCTAATAAAAAAAAAAACATTTAATTTCTTTAGGAACCATGGGAGGGGAACCAGTGAACGGGCAAGTCAAACCACAAAAGGGTTCACTGTATTCATTTGAAAATAAAAAACCTATGAAGCATCTAAGTAAATTGGGTATATCTAATGGTTTAGCTTGGAGCGCAGACAAAAAGAAAATGTTCTACATCGACACCCATGCAGGTTCAATTGATGAATTCGATTATGACATTAAAAATGGAACTATGTGTAAGTTATTACAAATTTTAAATGTTCTGAAGCTAAATCAGCTTCAGTAATGCCAGTTATATTGAGGGTGGGCTATTAATGCGAGAAAGTAATAGTTTATTTTTATGTACAAGCAATTTTATAACAGCTTGCCAATGCTATTCTTTAAATATCTAATACTTAGCTTTTTTTTTATATAATGTGAATCACAAAAGTGTAACTGACGTCTCTACCACGCACCCAACTATAAAGAGAGGGTAAAAAACAACTTTAAACTTTTTGCACTATTAAGGGTCAGTGTTTTCACCTACAGATAAAGTTCCAGATAATTAACTAACTAACGGATAAATTATCCGAGAGTTACTATCTGTCAGATAATTTATTTTTTGTCTTTTCAAGTAAATAATATGTAGGGAAGGTAGCCAACAGTTTTTAACCTTATGTGCTTATGTAGCTACCTGTTTATCTATCAGTGAAGTATTTTATCAGGAATTCCATCAGTAAGATACGTTATCTTTCAGGGGTTAGGTTTATCCAGAAGTGAAAAGATTACTTCTTAAGTTATCTGGAAGATAAAAATTACCTGACACTTTATCTGAAAGTGGACCGACCTTAATAGGAATAGAATTGTTTTCTGGTTTGCCCACGTTAGAATTTTCTAGTTCATATTTGGCGTTTTAGCTAATAGAAGACCTTTGTTCACATTGAAAAAACACAATATTCCTGGAGGTCCCGATGGTATGACAATAGATAAAGACGGAAAACTGTGGGTCGCCATCTTCAATGGACACCGAGTGATCAAAATTGATACCGAAAAACGCGAAACGCTTTTAATGTCTGTTACTCTACCAGCAAAGCAGGTAAATATACAAAGTTTGGCTGAAAATTCTTTCCAGATATCAGTTTTTTTTAATCAAATGAACATTCAGATTATTGGATATTGCCTTAATCTACAAAAAATTTGTCATTAGTCCATATATGTTGTTCATTTATTTTTTAGGTTATTAAAAGATATTGTATGTTTTTTTTTGCCTTAACACCTTGGCTGCCACGTTTGGACTTAAATTTTAACTTTGACTAACAGATGACGAATTGGAATATTTTTTGTTAAAATAAAAGTATAAATACAACAATACTTAATTCAATCCAAATTTAACTACGATTTTTAAATACTTATATGTATATGATGCCAACTTTATTTATAGATTACTTAGTTCCGTTCGGTACCGGTTTTTTATGTTAAAAAAAACGTTCTAGTTTAGTACTGATGGTACAAATTTTAGGTGACTTCAGTAGCTTTTGGCGGACCAAATTTGGAAGATCTTTACGTAACTACTGCCAAATTTACGATCGATGGGGAACTACTTAATGCTCCAGAACATGGCGGCACTTACAGAATTACAGGTTTGAATGCCGTTGGACAGGAACCAGGCGTGTCAGTTATGTTATGAAGATTAATAAATTGATGAAGAATGTCTTTAGGTAATTTAGCATTTAAAACATGAAATGTTGAAACGAAATTGTGTTTTATGTAACAATAAAGGGATTAATAATATTTGAGTATACTTTCTATTTTCTATGCTTATTTAGCTGTTTATTTTGCGGGTTTGTTGATACCTCTCTCAGCTTTCGTCATGTTATCTGTAAGATTGTTTCGCGATTCATTTAGGCACATCGTACAAGTTGAATCAGTAAATATTACGTTTCGTAAAATACTTATCAAGCAAACCTCGTAGTTCGAGAAAGTAATTTTTAATACGTAATAGGTAGAAACCTACTTAAGCGCAAAAATAAACCAGTTGTTAACTCACCAGTGTTGGCACTTGTAACATAATTATGGAATTGTAACATAATTTTTCCTTAAAATGTGTAACATAATCGATAATTGTAACATACTTTTTTAGTCTAAGAATTTTTTATTCTTATTGTACGAAACCAATTTAATAAACAAATTAAAATTATTTAATTTAATCAGTGCTCTTGGCAATTAAAAAAAGCTACATTACAATAAAAGTCAAAGCACCATCTACATAAATATTTCGGTACTTGGAAAACATCTCTTGCTTCACGGAGCGGGGAATCCCCCGACTACATGGGGTTCCTAGAATTTTAAAACCGGAAACATTGAACTTTGCATGAAATTGATAATCAGCGGCGTGGCGACTGTATTGCTAGTCAAAGTTAAATGGAGAGGTAAATAATGAAACATTAATTGAGAAATACTGATAAAAAAATTCCCAAATTAGTAAAATGATGTTTAAAATAATTATATAATGGTACTGTAAATTCACTATTATTAGCCTCTCAAAGTGTAAACGGTGAATGCTACAATTTTAATGTTACACAAGAAATGATTAGGGGTGAGATTACAGAACGTCTGCAACTTTGCAAATCTGCAAATATGGCGGACTTACAAATGCAAGTATTCCAAAAAATATCTGCAAATTCGCAATATTTATTGTAGTTTATTACCCCCAACAACACTAAACCCAAATTTGGAATACGAAAACTTGATACTTGCATGTGTAAGTCAGTCATATTTGCAGATTTTTAAAGTTGCCGCCATATTTGCAGATCTGCAAAGTTGCAGACGTTCTGTAATCTCACCCTAGATCAATAACTGCCGCGTTTGAGAATCCACATCGGATGCATCTGAGATGTAGTAAACTTTGATCACGTGATTTAGTATACGTAAATGTAATGGGACAGATATGTCCGATGTGGATAAAAAAACGCTCGAGATGTAAAAAATGCATCCGATGTGGATTCTCAAACGCGGCAAACATCGTAATAAACACGATCAAGATGGAAATGTTGATATTCATTTTGATACCGAATAATTTTGATCTAAATTTAATTTTTTGTGTTATTTGATTTTTTATACGATTATAAATAAATTAAAATAAGCATGACGTTTTTTGTTTTCCGAAACAAAATAAATAAAATTGTAACATAATTTTAAGAAAAATCGATAATTTCGGCAGCACTGCACGATAATTTCTTCATCGGCTAGTGGCAACACTGCAACAAACAGATATTGCACAGTAAACGAAATTAAGGTTGTCAAAAAAGTTTGTAAGGTGATGAATCGAATTTTATTAAGATTCAATATGTTTGTAAATAATATTAAAAATGCTTCAAATAATAATTTTGGGAATCTTTTTTGCTTTTTTAATTTACCATTACACGATAAACCCGATGAGTTACTGGAAACGAAAAGGAGGGTACAAATGGAACCTTTGTTAAATCTATTTATAAAAAATATATTTTTCTACGTCCACATGGATACCTATTAGCTTATCTACGGACAGACTGCAAAACGAAAAAGTATGCTATTGCCTTCAACTGAACGAATATATTTTATATATCCATTCTAGATAGTGAGAAAACTGCAAAATAATGAAATCCACCAAACACAGTTTATATTTTGGACACCCAAATACTATTATTTTTAAAATTTTAAATAAGTAACAATTCTGTCACACTAATTGTCAGTATATTTTTTAGTTATTGAGATATATGCAATAAAATGAGTTATTTTTGTGTAGAATTGATTACATAATAATAGCATTTTTATTTGGTCTATATTTTAAAAAAAATAAATTTTAATCAAACTATATGAAACTAAATTAATTACGAGTATTAAAACTAAAATCATAAAAGTAGCGGTGGAGGTGAGGACAGAGCGTCTGCTTTCCACGTGAAAATCTCGGGCTTAAATTTGGGCTGAGGGCTAATTAAATTAATTTTTTTTTGTTTATTTTATTTTATAAACTAATAAAATTCATAAATGATTTTAAAATTGGTTATTTTGGCTTAATAACTTAAACAACTTTTTAAATTTGTAGATTTTCGTTAGAGGGTGTAGAAAAAATATACTGTACAACTCGAGTGGATTGTTGCACAAACTACTATTCTTTTCTCCTTGCCATATTACGGTACATGCCTGGAGGTATATGCGAAAGTTATATAACCTAAGAAAGAAATCTTCATCTGCAAGTATGGTTGACGTAATAAGTTAAAATAAAAATTGACCCTTTACGGATGGCGTTTATATAAAAATCACGAAAAACTACTCACATGTGCCGTACACAGGTAAAAAATAATGACGTGCCATATATACCTACGGCATGTGTCACACATTAGAAATGTTATTCAAATTCGGCTTCGCAGTCAACGTTATAATAAAAAGAAATTAAAAAACAGCGATATTTTCGTTTATACAAAGTTTTGAACCAAACTTACAAATGCTACAATTACTTAGTGGAAAAAAATTAAACACTCATTTTAAATTAGGCAGAGCTGCCACCGAGGCTGCCACTGCTTTCAAATTGATCATTTTTCGTTTTTGATATTTCAACCTCCATTAACTCCTCGTTATTAATCAGACTTTTTTTCAAAATCGTCTATTATAGAGTTTGATTGGACAAAAAACGTAACTTCGGACGGAGACATTTTTAAAATTTTATTAGGATTTTTAAATTGATATGGCAACCCTGTGAATCTGGTGGATTTGCCAGGATCAATGATAAATAGTCATATAGATTGATCATGCATTTTTTAAAATATAAGCTCGTGTATTGAAGTAAAAATGAAAGTATTTATTTTTTTTACTATATTAAAAGACTGAAAATTGGTTTTAAAACACATATTTTGCTAAACCGATTCTCATTAGAGCACTTGCGCAATAATATGGCCGCTCGCAAAGCAACTCGCTTTCAGCAATCTATATAACAATATATAGCGTTGACCCTATGAAAGCCAACAGGTCCACAGGGTTGCCATATCAATGCAAAAAATAAAATGGATGACTTTACAGTGAATAATAATCACAAAGTTCTTCTTCATTCTTTTAAAAGTTAATTGTGTAAATATTATATTGTAGTGTTTTCTGACAGATAATTAGCTTCAGTGCTAAAGCCCAAAAAGCTAAATTTTATTAAAACTAATTATCTACATACGAAATAGAATGCATTAACTTTTTTATATTGTTTATTAGGCCAATATATGAACAAATATTAGTCTTTGATCTGTGTTAGGGGTTGCTTAAAATAGATTAATTTATTTTAACTAATTAAAATAAAAAAAATTATTTTTATAAATAAATGTGTGTACAATAATTTACTATTGCCGCGTTTGAGAATCAACATCAGATGCATCTGAGATGTAGTAAATCTTTGATCACGTGATTCAGTATTCGCTCCGTGCGCGACAGCAGCGCCAATTCGTTTTGATACTAATGGACTATTTCGGCGTATACTGACAAATGCAACTTTTAATAGAATTCGTAATTAAAAAGTATACATGTTAGTTTTAATAAAAGTATATGGATTTGTAAAACAAGTAAAACATTAATTTATTATTATTATATATTTTTATCGCTTAAATTAAAGAAAATTATGTATAATTGATAAAAATAAATAATAAAATATAGGCAGGCAACAGTATTTACTGGAAAATGTATGAGAAGTTGCCTAAGTCTAATAAGTTTTCATTGAAGAATTAGTCTATTCTGTCAAAATACAAAAATACCATTTAATAATAGCGTGAAGGTAAAATGTATAAAAAAAGGATCATTACTTATATTTTCATTTTTGTTCGAAAGAAAACATAGAATGAATGATTAAAACTGATTTCCTATCAGTAAGTTACAAAATTGCGTTCCAACCACATATAATAATCAAAGGCAGAAATCTTGAAATCTAGTCCTTGCTGAATGCCTTTCAAGTTTCTGATGTCTACTATTTGCAGCATTACGGTTATTATTACAGAAATAAAGGTAATTTTCCTTCTTATTGTATATCTATCCATTTATTTCTTTGATTTAATTTCCACTTTGCTACTGAAATTTTTTATATAAGTTTCACTGTTTTTTTTGCTAGTATTTGTACAATTTTCAACACAGCAACTCCGGTTGCTTATTGTATTGTTTTTACCTACTTTTTTTTAAAAAAAGTAAAATGTATACGTGTATTTGATATGCCAAAATTACAAAATATCGCCCTAAAATGCACGAATTATCCGCAGCTAGCGCTAGTATCGCTTTTGCTTCCCTTTCCATTGCTGCGTTTGAGAATCCACATCGGATGCATTTTTTACATCTCGAGCGTTTTTTTATCCACATCGGACACATCTACTACATCTACATCTGCGTTTGTTTATCCCAGATGTACCTGTTCAGATTACATTTTTTACATCTCGATTTGGAATGAGATGTGAATGAGATGTTCGTTCCATGCCAGAAAGTAAGTGTTTTGTGAAGCCTTGTTTGTCAATTTATCCTTTGTTTATGCTAGCATGAATATAAAAGTGATTAGTTTGTTTAATTTTTGTTTATATTTCAAATTTAGGTTGATTTGTAGTTTCAAAAGTCAAATTTAATAAGTATAAACTTCTAACATGTCATTGACATTTTATCACGTGACCAAATAAAGTCTAGAGCGTTTGTTTATTACATCTACATTCAGATCTAATTCTCTATCACGTGATAAAAAATTCGCAACATCTCAGATGCATCCGATGTGGATTCTCAAACGCGGCACATGACTTCGCACGGAGCGAATACGTAAATGTAATAGATGTGTCCGATGTGGATAAAAAAACGCTCGAGATGTAAAAAATGTATTCGATGTGGATTCTCAAACGCGGCATAAAAAATTAGATATCTTCTTACATATCAAAATACTTGGCAACCTTGTATAAATATAACAAAAATATTTGTTTTAAAATGTGTAATTTTTGAAATTTTAATATTAAATTTCCAATTTAAACGTAGATATTCATATTTTTTTTAAATTTTCATGATAACATGTAACTACTTTACTTTCTAATAGTAGAAAAAAATATTTTGAAATTCGGGTATCCATAAAGTTGAATGTAATTCATACTAATTAATTTTGTGAACTTTTTAAATTATTTTTCTTTACAAGAAAACATGTCTACATACCTTTTCCAGTCTTAGTCCTATCTGTGCAGATATTACATTAAAACTCGGCGTTTATAAAGTTCACATAAAAACAAAAAAATATAATTTGTTGACAGTCCCCGTACAAAAGCATCACAATTTATGAAACTAATTTATTGTTCGCGAAAGCATAAATAGGTCATAATTTAAATAATATAAAATATATAAAAACATAAAAAACCACAAAAACGAATTAAAAATCGCCGGAAACTGCGCACTATTTTTCACAAAATGGTTGCCCGTGTAGATAATAACAGGCTGATATATGGCAACACTGTGGCTGGTGATTTGACAGGATCAATGATATATAGTCATCTAGATTGATGATCCATGTTTTCAAAATAAACATAGGCTTATGCCTTGAAGTAAAAATGTAATTTTTTTATATATATATTCGAAGGTTGGAAATTGGTTTTAAAACTTATTTTTACTAGAGCGATTCAAATTAACGAACAGTTGCCAAGAATAAAGCCGCTCGCAGACGACTCGCTTTGAGCAATCTATATAACTCAAATGTATCATTGATGACAACAGGCCCACAGGGTTGCCATATCTAAACTGTCAGTTTTCTGATATTTTAACAGGTCGTTGGAATGCCTAAAACCCTATCGATAAATCCATAGAAAAAACAAAACGTTGGATAAGTCGTGATAAAAAAAACTGCCGTGACATTCTCATCTTTCGAGACTCCTATCTTTGTTCGACAGACTGCAATTCTTATTTAATATTTCCCTCTACTGGATTCATAACGAGTTTGCCGATCTAAATACAATTACGCATACAGAGACGGCGTTAGCCCAATTTGAAAAGTTTTAAGTAGGTTTCATTATATTTTAGTTCTTATAAACATACGCCCGAAAATGCTTTCTTTCCGATATACAGGGATTGAAGTTTAAAAAGAAATATTAAACCATCGATCAATTTTACAGGGCCATTTTTTCTTTCGAACGCTTTAAAATAATTATTAGTGACTTATTTTCTTATAGTTAATTTTCAAGTTTTTGTTATGTACTTCACAAAATTCACTTCCTCCACCAATTTTGATTGCCTATTTTTACTCAGTTTTACAGTGAAGCCTATGTGACATAATTTTAAAACTGGATGCTTGCCAAAGTAAAATAAAAATGATGATTTTTCACTGAATCAGTGTCCGATAAAAATATTGGAGCGTTTTTAGTGTCCAACGAAAATAAAGATTAAAAACGAATGGTTTTATGTAAATGCAGTAACTATACAAAGTATTTTTCACCAGGTTTCTTGAGATCGCCGAGAACGAATTCGTTCACAGGATTTGAAAATGTTTACTAGAATTTTTAATGTCTAAATTGCCTTAATATATCGTAAAACAAAATGTTAGTACATTTTTATTGAAAAATTGCAATATAAAAATGCATAATCAAACCAATATGACGCTGTCAACAAATTAAAAAACAATACAACGTGGCCAAACTTAGCATTTATAAATTAGCACACTGAATATTTTAAATAACGCAAATTTAAAAATCTATAACCAATAAAATTAGATAACAGCAGCTTCGTTTTTAGCAACTCAAAAACCCCGACTGATTATTACTCTCCCTAGTTCATTCCCTTACAAGTGAATTTTAACCGCAGTGTTGAGCTTGTCCAGAGAAGGGAAGGAATTATTATTTGCCGTGGCGCTCCGGGGCGGTTTAAAGATGATTAAGTGTGCCATTTGACTTATGGAAAACCCCACCAACCATCATTGAAATATAATGTCATATCAAAATAAATTAAATTTCTACTAATAATGCATCCATCAAATTCTATAACGAACCATGCAAATTAATTAAAAATTCGCATGGTTTGTTGTAAAAATTGAAGCCGCGTCGTCTTTCAACCACAAAATTGCTTGTAAATGAATGCAAGCACGTATATTTTTATATAATTACTGTTACAGTCTGTTCGCTATACTTACGCGGGTTTCGGATTAAAATTTTTATGAAATACTACTCACATACCAAATATCAACTGGTTAAATGAAATGAAAAATAATGTAAACCTATTTAATTAAATAATAATGGAGAATCTTTTGTATAATTGGAAGCAGAATTAAACTTCTTTCTTAATGGAGTCTAATGTGACTATTATAAACCTAATAATAATTTTATATTACACGTCACACAGAAAATATGGTCTATGTAAAATAAGAGGGTTATTTAGCTCAAATAAAATATTTTCTAACATAAAAATTTGTTCCATGTAGAGAATTTCAAATGAAAAATAAAAAATTGAACTTGCCAACAAAAATGAAAATCAGTCATTATCATCCAAAATATCATAATCGTCATCATCATCACTGTCATCACCATTAATTGTTATTATGATTGAACTTATTTAGTTTATTTTATTTTCACGAGTCCACCAATCTTCTATTAGTTTCTCGCACTTAGATATACAGTTCCGCCACACTTCTGGAGTTGCAATTGAAAGTGCTTTTCGCCAAGTTTCCCGAACTGCGTCGTCACTATAACCATTAGGCCCAATATGGTTGTCATAATATTATTCTGCTATTCCCCATATATATTCTATGGGATTAAACTGGCAATAATATGGTGGTAGACGTAAAACTTGATGACCGTAACTTTCAATAATCTGATCCACAACAAAGGTTTTTGGTTTCGCGTATATATTTGCCAAGCGTAATAATTCTGATTTTAATATACAGTGAAACCTGAGTAAGCCGGAACCTGTGTAACACGGAATCCTGTGTATGACGGAAATTTTGGCGATTACCTACATATTGTAAAAATTGCTTATAAGCCGGAACCATGTCTAACGCGAACACGGAATTTCCCTAATCTGTTAAGTCGGAACCTACTTATGTTATTGCTTTGCAGGTATAAAAGAATTTATAGATGTTTACATAATTAGTTTATGATTTCGGAAAGCCCCATAATAAGGGCGAACTATTATCAATACTTAGAACCATTATCACAGAAATTTAGGTACAAAAGCAGTAAATACACAAATAAACCAGTATTGTGTAGGTACGCCAGTTTGAGTTTATCCGTAAAAGTGCAAACATTTCAAAATGGCAAACCGAAAAACGAATACATTATCGCTAAAATCTAAAATGGACTTAATTAAATGTAGTGACCAAAAAAAACTTACTCCAAAGCAATTGGTTATTCAATTTAAGTGCGGAAAAATGCAAGTGTATGAAATTTTGAAAAACAAGGAAAAAATTAAAGAAGAGTGGATGCGTGGTGGTAATGGCGATATTAAGAGAAAGCCAAAGGAATCACATCACGACGACGTAAATTCAACAGTTTTGGAATGGTTTATGGATGCAAGGTCTCGCAATCTTCCTGTATCTGGAACAATTATTCAAGAAAAAGCAAGAGAAATTGCAAACCATTTTGGAAAAGTAGATTTTAAAGCTTCGAATGGATAGCTGGAAAGTTTTCGAACACGACATAACATAAGATTTAATCAGATCTGCGGTGAAGCTAAGGACGTCGACATGGAATCTGTGACTGAATGGACATCGCACATTACAGATTTAATTAAAGGATATACCCTAAAAGACATTGCTAATTGTGACGAAACTGGCCTTTTTTATAGAGCGCTGCCGGACAAGACAATGTGCTTTAAAGGTGAAAAATGTCAAGGAGGCAAACAATCTAAAGAAAGGTTAACCGTTTTGTTTTGCGCCTTTGCTGACGGAAAAATAGAAAAACCTCTAGTTATTGGAAAATCCCTCAGACCGCGATGTTTTAACAATACCAATGTGCCTCAGCTACCAGTTTATTGACGAGCAAATAAAAAAGCATGGATGACATCAGTTCTTATGGAACAGTGGCTAAAAATTTTAAATCAAAAAATGAAATTTGAAAATCGACACATCCTTCTATTTTTGGATAATGCAACGTGTCACCCCAAAATAATACTATCCAATATAAAATTGTGTTTTCTACCACCAAACACCACAAGTCAAACACAGCCTCTCGATCATGGAGTTATACAAAACTCCAAAATGCATTACAGAAAACAAGTGCTGCGGTCAATTATTGCGAATATGAGATTTTCTCAATCAGCAGGAGATTTGGCTAAAAAAATATCAGTTTTGGATGCTATCAGATGGATTGATTATTCAGTAAAAAATATTAAACCTGATTGTGTTAAAAAATGTTTTGCGGCATGTGGAATCAAGCAAGATGGAGACGTTGACCTAATCGAAAATGTTGACGAAATTGACGAAAGTACAAAAGAAGTCGGAGAGTTAATTACTGAAATTAATCCCGGTTGTAATGTTCATGATTACATCACATTAGATGAAGCCGTTACAACAAATGCTGGATTTCAGTCCATAGAAGAACTGGTGTTAGAAAAAACTGCCGTGGAAACTACTGTGGCAGACGATAATGATGGGATTGGAATTGGTAAGCGATTTTTCTAATTCTCTAAAAAAATAAACAACTATTTATTTATTCTTTCCATCTTAATTGGGCATTTGGCCAAGTAGAAATAAAGTTAAAATACATAATAAAAATAAGATAGGAAGATTTCAGTTACCATCACAAAAATAACAGATAGAAAAAATTATTTTCCCATTAGCTTTTCAAAACGATCTGTTCTTAAATTATTATTTTTATCTACAGGAACAGAAGTTGAAGAATCCGATCGGATAAAAAATTTTTCTGAAGCTTTGAGGAGTGTTGCAGCGTTAGAGGATTTTTCCCAAAGAATAGAGAGCGAACCGATGAGAAAGAAGATTTTAGAATTAAGGACATTCATGGAATCATCTTACGTATTACAAAAGAATAAAAAACAACTTACATTGATAGAAATGTGGAATAAATAATAATTTATATTGTTTCTAATAATAAATAAAAATATGTAGGTACATAGTAATAATAACAACTATATATTAAATGTACGTATATTAGATTTTTTTAATAAAATCATCACTTTTTAAAATCTACTATGTGCAATTTTTTATCTACCCTGTGTAACGCGGAATCCTGTATATGCCGGAAAATCGGTGCACGACCGTGCGATTCCGTTTTACACAGGTTTCACTGTATATTGAGGAAGTGGTATATGTTCCTTTGTCAAACATTCTTTAATTTTATCAACAGTCCAAGAATTCGTTGGACTTTTGTTTAATACTTCAGAATGATAAGGTGCATGGTCTAAAATAATTACGCTGGGCTCACTTAAACCTGGGAGAAGTTTTTCATGCAACCATTTTACAAACATTTCTGTGTTCATATTATCGTGATAGTCATTGGATTTTGATTTAGATGAAAATATTAAATCAGCACCTTCTATAAAACCCGATTTCCCTCCTGCATGTAAAATTATGTGTCGCTTCCCTTCTCCATCGGTATGTTTGATGGACTTTACGTTATCATCTTGCCATATTCTCTTGGTTGCACCCCTAGAAAATATCCATGTTTCGTCTAAATATATAAAATTCGCCCCTTCTTCTTTAAATTTAAAATATTTTCTTAGAAAGTTAATTCTCTTATGCACGACAGAACTTCTTTCACAAAGGGCCTTTCTGTTATCCTCCTTTTGACATTTGAAACCCAAGTTATGTATCACTTGCCATAGACTTGTTCTGCCAATGTCGTCCAATTTTCTATTAATTCCGAGAGAATTGTATTTAAGGTCACATGTTCCTTGTTGGCCCTCATTCGATAAATGGTATCACGAATTTCAAATTTCTTTCCATCTGAAATATCGTTCGTTTTCAATGATGGGCGAGTTTTGCGGTGATCTTCTTTCGGCAGTTCACTGTTGTGATTTTGTAATACTCCTCTTAATTTGGTTTCACTAATTCCTGGAGCATTGCATACGCGTTGTACAGATATTACCGATTTTAAAGGACCGCCATTTTCTTTTTCATCCGTAAAATACTTATATACACTACAAATTAGACTATCTACATCTAACACAGGTCTAGGCATTTTTAAAATTTCCACTAAATTTACAATATACATACAATGTCAATACTTGCAAAGAATCAATTCAACTGCAATATTTGTAACAAATTTAGTACCTACTCTAATATTATTTTAATTTAAATCTGACCATTAGGGCAATTTTACCTAATTTCTTGGGAAGAGGCTTATTGGAACTGGTTGTCAATGACTAATTTGCATAATTTTGTTAATCCGAAACCCACGTAAGTATAGCGAACAGACTGTAATTACCTTTAGAACATCTACAAATATAAAAAAAGAGTTCATGTTTGTTTCCTAGTTCTTTAAAATATCTGCGGTTTAATTTTAGATAATGAATTTAAAAACGAATTTAGTTTAAAATAAAAAAGTACATTAAAAAATTATTTAGGGTGTATATGTTATAATCTACTTTTATCTTCGTCCGCCACCAACTGAAAGAATCCTCTTACCTGCGCGGACCAACACTTTCATTGGTTTATATCTATGCAGTCCTGTTTGGTGTACATTAAAACAGAGCGCTGGTCAATGAGCTAAAAAATTACCACTTTACGAAATAGAAAACAATCTCATACATTTTAAAATCAGAATAAAATGGTAAGATGCGATTTTTCCAAATAGGAACTTAAAAATCTCCTCGACGTAAGCTGTAAAAGAACAAAAATGGATTGGAAGTATAACAAGTCTTGTAATATAACTTTTAATATTTTGAATAATAATATTAATAAAATGATATTTATATGTTATTAACTAAAAAAATCACACATATACCGTCTCTTTGGAAATTATTATAAAAAGAGCAATAGAAATAGCTTTGTGGCTTACAAAAAAAGGCATTATATGCAAAATAATGAATAAAGTACTGTAATTTATCAAACTGCTTACGAGGTCAGTGCAAAAAGAAATTTAACGAATTTTTACTTGTTTATAAAAAGTTACAAAAAAATCGAAATTGAAAACAAAACTCCGCAAATCCAATCATATCAATGCCTTACATAAATATAAATTATTTTTGTTATATATAAAACAGTCTTTAAATGCATCGAATAAATAATTTTTTATTAATAAAAAAGTACCATGCGACCATTGAGAATCTTTCGAAATTTTACAAAGAAAAAAAAAACTACCTTAGACAAAACAGAGTTAACAATAATTATACAATCAGGACAGTCAATCATTTTTTACCAAACCTGCGTTAGGAGTCAATTTAACAGCAAATTATGTTTAATAAAAATACCCGATTTATGTGGCATGTCATATGTTAAAAACTAAGCCACCGATATGTGAAACGTCAATGTGATAGTGGACATGTGCGGTGAAATTCAAAAATATATTTTTTTAAAGTACTTGATGTAAATAACAAGGTGTATTATTGGACATCTAGAAAATTTGGATATCCAATATGAAGTTACACCTCAAAAAAAATATATTTACCAATAAAATGCACCCATTTTTTTTGTATGATTTTAATTTATAAACCCTCGCAAGTTACACCAGCCCATTGTTTTAAAGTGATGAATAAATACAATGTCCGGTACTGAATCTTAACATAGGAATATTTATAGTAACACATTTTGCTGTAACTTTGACTCAACACTAGAATTAATTTGACTGTTCATATATTTTTAATTTTTATGAACAAATTAATAATACCTCCATGTAGTTCCTAAAAAATTATTAATTTTGAGCAAGATTAAGTAAAAAATTCACGAAAAGCACAAGGATGATATGAAAAGTTGTCAGAATGAACTGTTTTAATTTGGTGTTGTAGATATTAATCTATCATCTGAAAAAAATCGAATAATCGAGAAAACTTTTCAAACACCCTTGTAGGTACATTGAACAATTTCCGATTTTTATTTTTAATTCTAACAAAATATCTATAAAAAGAACGAATATACAATCCCACCCCATAATTTTAGAATTTGAACTGAGCAAGATATATATTTACTTTTTGCACTTTTTTCTTCATTACAAAAAACACAGAAGGCTTATTTTTCACAATTTTCAGACTAGTATAAAAATGGTTACCTTAAGTTACCCTAATTTTGTCTAAATAACATTACCAGGGGTACAGTGCTACACGCTATATTGCAATAAAAATTTTTATTCAAAGGTTTTATGTAATATGTATATTTACAAGGGATGCAGTCTCTACGAAAACATAAAATAAATTACTGAGTAGCACAGAAAAAGTTTGTTAGTACAGTTAAATTGCCTAAAAAAATTGTTTTACCGAGAATAAATCAACATTATCATGGCTAGGGGTGCCAGATTCTTCAACTATATATATAAAAAAATGTTTTATTTTACAAATACTTCAAAATCGGCTGACATCACAATCAAAACACAAATAGCTTTTGTTGTAGATCCTGTCATTTCCTATTAAATCATTTATAAATAATTTTATACTATCAAGACAGCTAATAACAGTTTAATTTCTTAGCAAAAACTGAAATATGCACATTAAGTAGTGCTATAACTTTTGAAATGTACATTTTTGAAAATAAAAATGTTTAATTATAAATTATTGGTATAGTTATGCTTTATAAAAAAGGTCATTAGTGTTTTAATCGTAGGTTTAACCGTTTTAGAAATATTTGCAAACAGCTATTTTTGAAGATGGCGGCTGAAAAAACGTCCCAAAAACAACCCTCTATTATTTCGTATTGAAAAATTTTGGTTGGAGTAAAATGTGGAAAAACTACCTGACGACTGAAATTTTTTAACACAAGCTACCGGACTAACTAAATGATTTATAGTCAGGCAGCTAAAGTAAACATTTAAAAAAAAGTTAAATAATTTTGTTTTTGACAGTTGCTATTTTATGTTTTAGTAAGACTACAACAGTTACTAACAAGTAATTAAACTAAGTTTTTTTTTGACTTATCTACACCTCAGTGAGCATTCATATTTTTTACTTGACTAACTTAAAATCTCAGACCTGTAAGTGCATGTTCATCAAGTATTTTTTAATTTTCCCCATTTCAACTATTTGCCAAATTACTTATCACTGTCAAGTACATACTTGACAAAAGTAAAAATATTGTCAAGTACTTATAAAAAGCAAAAAATATTTTATGAACAAACTTGCAGATCTGATCATTGTTGGCACCCAACTATTTTCAAGCATTTTTCTTCAAATATTTTTGCTAATTTTCAAACGAAACGACACAATAAATCTGTTTTATTAACCTGCGCAGTGTCAACAATATATTTCATGTTATTTTATGTACATTAGGAATAGATAGAAGATAGCACCATTTTTAAATTTTGCTATTACTTTTGACTGTTTTTTTGTTTTGTAGAAAAAAAAAGGCAATAAATACTGTTAACACTGCATAGAGTTTTAACTTTTCTACGGAAAATGTTATTTGGGAAAGATTAATATCATTTATAGTACTATTTAAAAAAGTAAATATATAGAGCATCTACTAAGTTAGAACCATATTTATGGAAGGCTTTTTAATATTAGTTTTTTCGAAAAAGTTCTGCATGGTCTAAAACCTATAATAAAATCATCAGACTTCAAAATTTGACAGTTATATGTGACGTATCTCACAAAACATAAATTTTGTACAATATCGAATATTATGGAGAAAAGTTAATTATAATTATTATAAGTCTAGTTAAAATATGCATTAATATCCGTCTACCCTAAATTGAAGTTTTGTACTTTCTCCTAACTTTCATTTAAAATATATTTGAACAAGCATATAGAGCGTTGGAATTAGGTACCCAGAATTGTACTGTACAAAGTTTGGTTAATTTTAAAATCATTTATATGAGCGTTTTCATTTACTATTTAACCTAACCTAACTTTTTGGTTTAGAAACGTTGTTATTATAATAATAATAATAAAGCCCCAGAAAAATTACTTATACCATTAAGCAGATAGTAAGCTTCTAATGTAATTACTGTTTTGAGGTAATTTTTTGAGTGTAACTAACAATAAGAAAATACCATAATCATTTTTGTAAGATAGATATTATTACTGCATTCATTAAAAAACGGTATAATAATTAAAACTGTACTTGTTAGTTGATTTATCTTCAAGTATGTTGAAACCCAAGTAGATTTATTAATGAAAGTACAATTTTTAGGGTAGGTAAATGATATTGGATTTTGATTAACTTTTCTTTTTAATTTTAGATATTCTCAAAAATAAAGATACTTTACCCTTTCACCAAATTTATATTATATGACTAATACATCTTGATATTTGATGACTTTTTTGTGGGTTATTATAGACCAAACAGAACTTTTTATAAATATATTTTTTTTAAACTAACAATAAAAAGAGTTTGAATATGGTAAGTAGACACACTGTACAAATTTTAAAATAAAATGTGATAAAACTTAAAATTATAGAAAGCGTTTAGTTAGCAATAAATATAAAATAAATATTTTTACGAAAATGAATACAATATCTCTAAAAAAAAACTTTAAAAAATCAAAAATATTTAATAAAAATTAAAATCATAGCCATTTAACGACAGAATATTCAGCACACATTTTAATATCACGTTCCCAAATAAAATTTTCCTATACACAATTTTCCAGCTTTTTTTCTTCACAATTTCTCTAACAGCAACAAAAAGTTAAATAAAAATATCGTCTGTCCATTTATCAAAAACTTCATTCGCATTTCACGATCACTTGTCTAAACAGTACCAGCTTCCAAATACCAATGACCGTTACACGACGATCACATGCATATACAGGGTGCGTTCCGTTAAATTGCTGAAACGAAATTACCATAAAAAAAAATCGTCCAATGTGACTGTTTTTTTTGATAATTTTGAAGATTTATGACACTTATTATTTGTAGATATTTAAGAAATACATATATTTTGAGGCAAACATTTGTATGAATTAAGACTAAGTTCTTTTCAGATATTAACAGACAAAATCACAACGGATGGTGTACATCAACTAATACATATTTTTAAACAAACATTAAAAGGAGCAAGTTAATTTTTACTACATAAAGTTGTAGACTGCAAGGGAATCTACCCATTAAAACTCAGAAGAAGCGATAGATTTGTCAAAAAATAAAACAACCCTCAATCACATTTGCAAAAGACTTTTTTTAAATCGTATTTCCGCTTCTTTCGGCGACCACCCTGTACCGTATAGATTAATACACCTTAACCGGAAATGGCGTTTCTCAACCTCTAGTCGGCCGTTACCAATTCGCCATGCCGGGCTTGTTGAGGGTCATGAAGTAAATTTGACAGGAGGAACCACTTTTCGCACTAGAAAAGAACACTTTGTCGTTTCGCTCGCACAAGAATTTTAACCGTTGCGATTTCTTGTGCATAAACACACCGTCCAAATGTCCAGACTCCACCGACCGGATCTCGATGGCCTTGTTGCCCCAACCCATGATCTGGCCGGTGCCTATGTACGCGACTGAGGTCGGCATTTCGCCCCACTGGAACAAACAAAATACTTCAGTTATGGGTATTAGAAAAACTAGAGATTAACGATTAACATGGAATGAAAAGTTGTTGAATAAAAACTGTAAAAAAATCGGAATTGGTGAAATAAGTTCAAATAACAAAAGTTTGAAATAGAAAATTTCGAATTACAAAATTTCTAATTACTTACTCTTGACAAAAGAAGGATTAAGGTAAGCTGGAGTAAATGTAATAGTGGGGTAAATGTATTATTCAGTAATAACAGTTAACAGCATATTTTGTTGTGAGGGAGTATGCTGCTTCTATTCTAGACTGACCACTCTTTGCTGCGACTTGTTAGTCTGTCATTAAAAACGATCAAAGTTATAGAACAAATTATGGTAGACATTCTTATATGGACATATCTCTAGAATTTTTAAATAGAGAGGGTAGATTGGGTATTTCTAATAACTCTTTTCAAGTGTTTAAGACACATACTTTGATTTTCTCTTACTATACGGAGAATGGTCGCAATGCGCAGCTTTCTGAGTGCCTTTTAAAAGGAGATAGAAAACTCCGCCATTTTGAACCTTTATTACGTGTTGCCTACATCTTGGCGCAATAGTTTTAGTCATGTTTTAGTGGTTATGTTATAATATTTACCCAAAGTCAGTCCCCAAAGATATTATTTACGAACCTATACTTTACAAAACCATTAACAAATAATATACTTGGTGATTTTATGTTAAATCTTTCCATTTGTAAGTAGTAACTACTTTATTTATGTCCTTTTTGTTATATTCTAAAGCTTTTTATTTTTTAGGTATCCTACGAATCTCAAGCACTTAACATGAACAGTGGTTACAAACCATTAACACAGCTTATACAATACAGCTCCACAACTCCGTGTCGGCGTCTTTGATCTGGCGGTCGAGAACCAAGCAAGACGGAATGGTGCTATCTCTGTTGGATTAAAGGGAAAAGTCGGGCCCGGATTAAGCAATTTTTTTATTATTGAAAAAATTGAAAACCTTGACGTAATAAGGTTGGTTACATGCCATGTTAAGTAAGTTTTGGGAAATTAAATTTTTAATTTGTTTTAAATCTGTCAAATATAATTAAAAAATTATTTAAATATAAATATTACGAAAAATAGCACATCTTTCGGATTAGAGGTAAAATAATTTGTATGTGGCTAGTAAAATCCTCGTTAACAAATGTTTTGAGCTAAAACAGTCACTTCACGACAAATTGTGACTTGGATCCTTTTTACACCAAGGGCTTCAATTGTTAAAGAAATGTGTCACGCTCGTGGATGTAAATCAAGTGGTACCCCGTGTCTCTGGCAAGTGTTACTCTTCGCGCAAAGGGTTTATACCTAGATAAACGAATGCTTCGACTGAGGTCTGGGAACTCTATGGTATTTTGGAATTATAAAGAATTTGTGCTTTTATTTTAACAATATTGGTTATATTTAGATGTATTCTTATTAATTGAAATACAGATTTGTAGAAGTAATACTTTGACAGTTTTTATTAATATAATATATTCAATTTTTATCTGACCATACCGAAGTAGGGAATTTTGAAACTTTATAGTAATGTGAAATTTGAATTACAATATTACACGATATTACATAATTAGTACTTATTTTAGGTAGGTACTAAATTTGTACTTGGAGAAAGTAATATCGATTTTTACAAGAAAACTTGAAAAGTAAATTAATTTAGTTCCTATTTCTGATGTAAAACTTAAACCAAGAAAACAAATAAATTGTAGTTTGTTCAACAAGGGTGGATATGATAGCCATATCACACAAAGACGAAGTTTGAGCACGACGTCGTGTGCGGAGTACTCAATCGTCTGATTGTGATATGAACAATCCACTCGATATGGTCAGTATATTTTTTCTACGACCCACTAACGAAAATCTACAAATTTAAAAAAATATTTTAGGTTATTTAGACAAAATAACTAATTTTAAAATAATTTACGAAGTTGACTAATTTATAAAATAAAATAAACATGAAAAATTAATTAGTCCTCGGCCTAGATTCGATGAAATAAAATAAACATGAAAAATTAATTAGTCCTCGGCCTAGATTCGATCCCGGGCTTTTCGCATGGAAGGCAGATGTTCTGTCCTCATCTTCACCGAAACTTTCAGGACTTTAGTTTTAATACTCGTAATTAAATTAGTATCATGTAGTTTGATTAAAATTTATTTTTTTTTAAATGTGGACACAATAAAAACAAAAATGCTATTATTTATCGAGTCTACACAAAAATTTTAATGTATATTTAATATCAATAACTAAAATATATATTGACAATTAGTTTAACAGAATTGTCACTTATTTAAAATTTTTTAAATAATAGGAGTTGGGTGACCAAAATATGAACTGTGATTTGTAGATTTAATTTTGTTAAAGTGTTCTCACTACCTAAAATGGATATGGAATATATTCGTAGTTGAACGCAATAACATAATTTTTCGTTTTGTAGTATGTGCGTAGATTGGCTAATATCCATACACAGATTTCAAAACGAAAAAGTATGCTATTGCCTTCAATTGAACGAATATATTTCATATCCATTCTAGGTAGTGAGAACACTGCAAAAAAAAAATAAATTCGCCAATCACCGTTCATATTTTGATCAACCGACTGCTATTATTTTTAAAATTTTAAATAAATGACAATTCTGTCAAACTAATTGTCAGTATATTTTTTAGTTATTGAGATAAAACATACAATAAAATAAGTTATTCTTTTGGAAAACGTTAGCATGGATGACTAAAGGGTATTGAGTTAATTAATTCTAAAAGTGTGGTACAAATGTTATTTTTTGTAGCCAATTCTTCAAAATTATTTTAAAATATCTTTTCAATATTGAATATTAGTTCTACAAATTCATCATTTGACAGTTGCAGATTTCCAAATGTATCTGAATTGGCGTTATCATATGCCTTTTAAAAGCAATAAAAAGAAAAATCGTCTAATTCAACGTGATCTTTGTTATATTTAAGACAGGTATCGCAGGAGTGGATCCGCAAGGCTTTTATTAAAAGGTAACCACACACATACCTGATAAAATTTTTCTGTAGCAATTCGTCTTTACAATAATTTAGGGTGTTAATAATTTCATCATAAAATAAAATACAAGGTGTTCCATTTAAAAAACATACATTTTAATTTTCCAGGCAAAAACGTGACACCCTGTATATCCAAAGATATTTTTAAAATATGTAGGTATTTTTCAAATCCATATAACTTTTATTTAAAACTTTCTTGCGTGTCTACAACAAAATAATGAACAATAACTCACTAATGAGACACCCTGTATAAATTATATTTTTAACAATGAAAATTTCTTATAATGTAGTACTTATCGGTTTGGGTCCTTGGGAAAACTAAAGAATGTTTTCTTGCAGGTATAACCCTTATTAAAACAGCTTTTGACTGCACAAACTCATTTTACTCACAGCTAAAGAGTCACCAAAATAATAACAGTACCTTTAACTCAAACAAAATCAACGAAATTATAGGCTCCACGAAATTATACAATCAACAAAATTATACGCACGACTCAACACCTTACCTAAGTACGCTTCTGAATGCCAAAACCGTCTTTTCCCTTCGAAGGCGGAGCTTAAGCGATGCGCGACGAAATCGACGCAAACCGTTGCCGCCAAGAGAGTGTTTTAGCTGTATTGTATAAGCTGTGCCATTAATCAAATTGTTTAGAAATTATTTTTAGCTAAACTTCGTTACGTATCTTCTCAGCATTTTCAGGAAAATGTTATTGCTCTTATGTAAAAAGGTATGAACCAATTCTTTGTAGGAGGCAAATACCTAGAAAATTGAAGCATTTACTTCAATAGGTGGGAGCAGTATTAAAATCAAACGAAATAATATAAATAAACATGTAAGTAATATTATTTACTTTTCGGAACATTTATATTACAATAATTGTTTTCATTTATTTTAGGTTTACTACCTGTGGCTCATCTACACACCTGAAAATAGAGGTAGTCCTCAGTTGAGAAAATAGCCCCCTCTGCTAAATAGTATATCAGGAAGAGTTAGAAAATGACCTGTAATATTTAATTTTTTTATTTGGTACAGTAAATCTTGTAACAATTTCACATAAATAGAAATTTCTGAAAAGCAAAAGTACCACTGATCTAGGTACATTGATTTTGTACGTTAGACATACACAGGAATCAAAAAAGTAACAAAAACATTTTTAGAGCCACCGTAAGTCAACATCCTTTTTACAATATTGAGTCGACGGACTAAAAAAAACCATAGCTAGACCATCGATTGCTATAGAAGTAGAAAGTAGGAGATATGCAAGAGTTTTGAAAATGTACACTGGCAATCTAATGTTAATACAATTAACAAACTTGTGTAATCTTTGAAAACGAAAATATTGATGGAGGTGGTGGCAGTAATATCCATAGGGGTATACATCTGTTATGATCTTTTTATTTCAGAATCAAACATCAAGTACCGGAACAAATTGAGCCAAATTATGATCTTCTAGAAATATTTGAACAAGAACAATCATCATTATGTTTTCGGTACATAGTTTTGTAATGTGCAAATAAGTTGTAAACTGAGAAGATTAAGAAATAATCTAGCTATTCTTCATCTTCTTAGGATCAATGTTGAATATTCATAAAATAAAGACATTTTACTATTACTTTACCAAAATATCATAATGTTTTTTAATGAACTCCTACTCAATCCTAAGTACATTTTTCAAAAAACTAATCTTAACTCTCAATAATCAGGCAGTTTTGGAAGACATAATTGATTTATTTGAAAATAAACACAATTCAAATCTAGTTTTACATTCCTAGGTACACAATCTTAATCTGCATATATTAATTGAAATTATCTGTCTTTTTTTCTAAGTGTTGTTTAATTTTATAAATGTTTAAACTTTTATTTTGAATGTACAAGGTTTTATCATTCTAATTGTGTGGTACCTACTCGAGTTAATCAGTAGTCTATATTGAATTGTTAAAAATAATTTATTGTATATTTTTACTTTTGCTAATAAACATTAAATTATTGATCCATAGTAACTTTAATGAGTTATGGACTTGTGGCACGCTGACTATAGACCTTTAATTTTTTTAAATAATATATTTTATTTTTTGACTCATTTGTAAAAGTACATAGGGGAGTGGGGACACATTTGACATATTTTTAGTAGGTATAACTATGATGTGTATTGTAAATAAAAAAAAAAAACTATTTATGACTGATATACACATATTTTCAAGTAAAAAACAACATAAAAATAGATTATATTTAATTCATACAAAAAATAAGAAGATACCTACATAAATGTACAAAAGTATAGAGTATTTGAAAATAAATACATAATAAATAAGCGATGACAAAATAACACAAACACACAAGAGGACTGAAGGTTTTAACATAACTAATTACTGTTAAAATAATTTAGCTTCTTAAAAGGATTTTATATCATGAGATAATTGATTAATTTGAACTCAGCCTTTCTACTTGTTATAACACAAAAATTAATAGAATTCGCAGCTCTTGTATGGTACTGATATAAGAAATAGGAGTAAGTTGATAATTCAATACATTATTTTCTATTTTAAAAACTGTCCCATATTCAAACAGTTCAACGTAGTCAACATAAGCTGAATGCTATATCTGCTACATCCTAAAATAGCTCTCCTTGCCTTATTCTGAGGAAGCTGTAACCTCTCAAAAGTAGAGTTAGAACATTCTGTGTATATTATATATTTGGCATAACTTGTATCCTAAAGATATCACTTGAGCATAGTTTAAACCATAGTAAATTGTAGATACTCAACCAAAAGTTCTTAGGTTAGTTTATAAAAACCTGTTTACTACCATATTTTAATTTTTTTTAACATTCGATCTCCTTTCCTGAATTTTCACCATTTCTTTGCTTGAACTTTTAAAGGGTATAAATAAAAGTAACGTTCTTTTTATATAAATTGCTGGAGCTTGCCTGCAAGAGTATATTCCTCTGGTAATATCTTTTAGAGCTTCTTTAATCCTACATTTCTTTGTTATTATTTTATAGTTTCGTACCATATTTACAGCTGAAAAAATGCAAAATATAATATTAAATTGTTTAACCTCAAAAATAATTTATTACATTACAAAAATAAAATGTTTTTTTCATGGGCATGGGACTGGCGAAAAATAACATAACATTAAGGTAAAATCATATACACAGCTTTAGAAATAATTTAAAACCACTCACCTCTATTTCAAGATGCACTCGCAATTATAACTTTACTTCAAAGAAGTTTCTTGTATATTATTTAAAATAAATAAACGTTTCTTTTACATTATTTGTTGCCTTCATTTAAAATCTCAAAATATCAAGATGTAGGCTACCAGTTTAACATTTTGGGAAAATATGTGTTGCCTAACTTAGTAAAAGAATCTTCGTATAGTAATCAAAGTATGTGGTTTAAGAGCACTCTACTAAGATTACTTTGATGCAATATAATCGATATTGAATATTGTTTACTAGTATTAATATAGTTGTGTTCTTTAAGTTATTTTTGATAAGATTGTTTCCTATATTTCTAGAATTACTTTTTAGATTTGTTAAATTTATGTTGACATAACCATATTATATTATACAGTCGTTATTTTGTAATGTGGGTTTCCCGTGTAATAAACAAATAAAATGTAACCTAATTTCGTAAAAAAATTACTCACCTGTAATAACATGTTTTTGGATATCCTACCATAGGTGTTGACGTATACGCCTTCATTGTCATAACACAGTAAAAGTTGCATACCATTGCTGTTTGGTAGAGTCACTATACAGTGTGGACAAATTCCATTTTGGGCCTTTAATAAAAAAATTATTCAGTAGAATTTTAAAATTATCAATTCGAAAGGTTTTCACAGATACATGGTTTATAGCCTACCCTCTCTGTGAATTAAGACAAAAAATCATAGACTTGGACAAGAACACACACCACAAATAATGACAACCCTGTTTTTTCCTAGCTTTTTCAGGGGACAATACGAAACTAACACAAGACAAACTTCCTATAACCTACAATTCCTGATCCAAAACCACCATAATCCCTCAATAATACCCCATAGGGTAAAGAGTGAGGGCGGCTATATTTAGCATAATTAAAATAGCAAAATATGGAACATATTACAGGCGGAGAAACCGCCTTAGGCCTCAATGGATCTTCATTAGGGCCACAACTGTACTGTGTACAGCTTCTGTTTTGTGACGTTTTATGTTTACATATTGTATATAATTTTTAACATGTGAATAAAGATTTTAAATGAATAGTTTGATTTCAAATTTTTATACGTTTTAATTCTCCAATAATCAAAGGAATTGAGGAAATAACAATTTACAAATATTGTTATATTTATACTTCATTTTTAAATTAGCAGGTTTAAATTAAAGTCACATTAACATTGGATAAAGTCACTAGAAAATAAACTATTTTATTTTTAATTACTTTTGAATGTTTTTCGCTTATTCTCTATTCTTCTACCTTTTCAGGGAAATGTCATCATCTTTATAATTGTTAATTATTTAATTTTCCAGTGACAGTTTAACAGAGTTTGTTTTAAATTAAAGGATTAGAAATCTTATAATTTTTAAATGGAAAAATGTTTTATTAAATAAAAATAATTATAAAAAAATATGATGTGGAAACCTTAAAAGGAAACTAAGTTGTCGCTTTGGGGGAAAAAATGAAATATTTCCAAAAATGATCATTATTAAATTTATAAAATACAAAATAAGGCATTAGTCATGTTGTCAATAAATTGTATAAACAAATATATATGAAGGTTATAAATAATTTAAAAATGTTCTAAACAATAGAAAAAAAGAAACTATGATTAGATTTACGTCAATATAGATATTTTTAAGAATTGCTTAATATAAGTTTTATTTAAAAATGTGTTGCTATGATTGACTATGTATTTTTTCGCATATGAGATTTTAAATCAACAAGTATTAAAAGTTTTTTAAAAAACCGAATTCAAAATCGTGCAGGTGCCATCATCACATCTTGACCAAATTTATATGTGACCACCCTTGAGGTACCCCTTTACTATCAAAAAAAGAATCATAGAAATTGGACAAGGTGGTAAAGAATTACTGCTAAACATACATTAAAAATGAAGAGTTTGAGGATTTTTTTCATGGACCCAATTATTAGATTTTGATCAAATTTATATGGGATCACCCCTGAGGTACCCCCTTACTAATAAAAAAAGAATCAGAAATTTTACAAGATGGTAAAGAATTACCGCTAAACATACATTACAAATGAAGAGTTTGAGGATTTTTCTCATGGACCCAATTATTAGATTTTGATCAAATTTATATGGGATCATCCCTGTGGTACCCCCTTACTAATAAAAAAGAATCATAGAAATTGGACAAGATGGTAAAGAATTACCGCTAAACATACATAAAAAATGAAGAGTTTGAGGATTTTTCTCATGGACCCAATTATTAGATTTTGACCAAATTAATATGGGACCACCCTTAAAGTACCCCCTTTCTATCAAAAAAGAATCATAGAAATTGGACAAGGTGGTAAAGTATTATCGCTAAACATACATTAAAAATGAAGAGTTTGAGGATTTTTCTCATGGACCCAATTATTAGATTTTGACCAAATTAATATGGGACCACCCTTAAAGTACCCCCTTTCTATCAAAAAAAGAATCATAGAAATTGGACAAGGTGGTAAAGAATTACCACTAAACATACATTAAAAATGAAGAGTTTGAGGATTTTTCTCATGGACCCATTAGATTTTGATCAAATTTATATGGGATCACCCCTGAGGTACCCCCTTTCTAATAAAAAAAGAATCAGAAATTGGACAAGGTGGTAAAGAATTACCGCTAAACATACATTAAAAATGAAGAGTTTGAGGATTTTTCTCATGGACCCAATTATTAGATTTTGATCAAATTTATATGGGATCACCCCTGAGGTACCCCCTTACTAATAAAAAAAGAATCATAGAAATTGGACAAGGTGGTAAAGAATTACCGCTAAATATACATTAAAAATGAGAGTTTGAGGATTTTTCTCATGGGCCCAATTATTAGATTTTGACCAAATTAATATGAGACCACCCCTAAAGTACCCCCTTTCTATCAAAAAAGAATCAAAGAAATTGGACAAGGTGGTAATGAATTACCGCTACACATAAATTAAAAATGAAGAGTTTGAGGATTTTTCTCATGGATCCAATTTTTAGATTTTGATCAAATTTATATGGGATCATCCCTGAGGTACCCCTTTACTAATAAAAAAATAATAGAAATTGGACAAGGTGGTAAAGAATTACCGCTAAATATACATTGAAAATGAAGAGTTTGAGGATTTTTCTTATGGACTCAATTAATAGATTTTGAGCAAATTTATATGGGACTACCCCTGAATTATTCCCCTTCTAACAAAAAAGAATCATTCAAGTCAGATACCGTGTTAAAGAATTATCGCTGAACACATACATAAAAAAAAACTATTACATCACATAATTGAGAACCTCCTCCTTTTTTGAAGTTGGTTAAAAAGAAAGATGGCATAAAAATATTTACTACGTCACTATGTTATGATTTATTCATAATTATTTCAGCTGATTTATGTTATCATAGAATAAACTGATTGTAGAAAGAACCAATATTAATTTTTCTGTTTAAAATGAAAACAAAGTTAAGTTTTTCAAAACTAAGTTGAAAATCATTATATATATATATTTTCTTTATAAAAAAAATTACTATTTATAAATACATCTGCATAAAAAGCGCACTTATTCCTATATCAGGTTTCCACAATAATTAATAAACAACTTTTTGTATAAAAATATTTCAAAACAAAGCTTCGTAAACCAACCATATATGGCAGTAAATTTATTGTAAAATCTTTTTCTTTGTAGGTTTCGGATCATCCTTAACAGTTTCGCATTCAGTTTTAACGGATACCCTTAAGGCGGGCAATTCGGAAATCATGTTCGTTAACGACACGGCTCTCATGGGATGAGTTACGTTCAAAATAGGCAAGGAAACTTGTTTCTTTTTTTCTTGCAACTTCGAAAACCCTTCACTAAGAATGCATTTTATTCCTATAATTAAAAAGAATAGATTAGATTAGTATGACCTGCGAGGTCCCTGAAAATAGTACGTGGAATCTTACAGAATTCGACGCGTTTTGAGGACTTAATGTTCTGTCTGTAAGTGATAAAAATAATTGTAATGATTTTAAATTCAATTATTTAAAAATTCACAAAATTAAATAAGAAATATGATCTAATTACAGCGAATTCTATATCTTTTAAAATATGACCTACTACATAGAATCCCTTGAATATTATTTGTAAGTTTAGAATTTAATAAAATTTAGGGCTATATTTTTCAATTTTTACTTTGACAACACTCGTTACTCAGCAGGTTAAAAGGTATTTAAACATTTTCTTTTTGGGAACAAATAAGCACTCTAATTTTCATTTATCTGTAACACTCTGTAATTACATTTTTACTAACTTTTTTCCTCATCTGATGAGAATTCTGATTTTAGCGATGCCATAGACTTCGACGTATCATCTACAACCGACGAAACTTTCGGATAAGATTCGTGGAAAGACTGTTCTAATTCTTCTTCTTCGTCGATCGAACTTTGATTTTCTTCTACATAATTCACTATGCTGGGAATATTTATTTCTATAGGTTCTTGTATTAATTTCATTTGATCCTGATAAATCAAGAAAAACGAAATGTTATTGAATGCTCACAATTTTGGTAAATAGAGTGTTATAAAAAGAGTTAATAGCAACACTAACCATATCTCTTTTGGCTGCCGGCAGTAGGCACTCGCAAGGTATACCAAGTTGTTGACAGTCGCAGATTTTCGGAAGAAATTTTGAAAAGTCTTTGGAAGGTCTAGCGCTCTTCGTAGGCACGATAGGTATCGATTTGGCCGTCCAAGTATCTTTCGGCGATGGCTTCATACAACTGTCGCCCTTCCAAGCGGGGGTATCAAAATCGAAAGATTCCGTGTGCTGGATGAATTCAATGTTCAACATTCTCCATAGAGCGTCGCAGCCTATGTCTACTATAAACGCTATAGTTCTGGTAGTCAAATCAATGCGATCTATTTCTAACATTACGTTGTTGATGATGATTTCTCTGATAGAAAGGATAAAATTATCAATTTCTTCTTCTTCGTAGATGCTCGAATTGAATTTGTATGGTTTTGTTTTATATTTGTTGTTTTCTACGGATAAGGATCCATATGGTTGTTCTGAGTCTTCCATTCAGGTACGTTTAGGTTTGATACAGTATGGAAATATTTACTGACACTGTCATAAATACGTTAAAATGTCGTTATTATCTAATGGTGGTTTCAAATAACTACAAATCAGTTCTTGAATGAGTAAAACCAAATTTGGTAGATTTTCACAAAACTTTTATTTTAAAAAATAAAAACACTACACATGACATGTTTCGAAGTACAACTTCTTTTTCAAATGTGACTAATTTACAATTCGGTATCCAATATATATGCGAAATAATTTAACAAAACTATTAAGATTTGCTTTTGTTTTTGCAAAGTTTTACATGTTTTGTTTTTGGTTTTTAGAAAAATGACTGATATATGTAATACGTCAGATTTTGATTAAAACAGTTCTTTCCTTTAAGTCTTGGTTATTGCTTTTTTTTTTTCGGTCCTCTCAACAGGTTATGAGCCCAGCAGAGAGAAGAAAACATTTAAAAGTTGTGTTGCTTTTTTGTATGGTTTTCTTCTAGAGATACGTTGTGTACGCATCTAGAAAAAAAAAAGCATAATTTAAGAAAAGAAGATACGTTGTGTACGCATCTAGAAAAGGCATTAAGTATTTTAAAAAGGAGATACGTTGTGTACGAATTTAGAAGACCAAAATGGCGGAGAAGTCAATTGACCTCAGTGTTAGTAAATTTGATGGTCAGAACTACCTACAGTGGAAATTTCAGCTTAAGTGTGCTCTTAAAGCTAAAGGGCTCTGGGGAATAGCTGATGGAACCATAAAGTTACCAGAACTTCAAGCAGGACAAGAGGAGTGGTACAAAAAAGATGCTCAAGCAATGTTCCTTCTAACAGCGGCAATGAATCTAGACCAAATTACGCTAGTCGAGAATTGTGAAACTAGTAAAGAGATTGTAAATAAATTGGATTCAATCTATCTACAAAAGAGTGAAACAAATAAAATGATTGTTCATGAAAGGTTTCATAAGTACAGAATGTGTAATACTGACTCAATAGCTCAACATATAGCGAAAGTGGAAAATCTAGCTAAGCATGTGAAAGAGTCTGGTGAGTCAATTAGCGATGCAGCTGTAATGATGAAAATCATAAGTACTTTACCATTAAAATACAGAAGTTTTCGCCAAGCATGGCTCTCATTAGATGAAAACAAGCAGACGATTCCCAATCTCACTGCTCGACTATTAGACGAAGAGAAAAGTTTAACCGTATATGAAGAAGCTGAGACTGCATTAGCTACTGTTTCATTGAAGAAAAATAGGTACAAGAATGTTGTATGTTATAACTGTAGAAAAAGGGGACATTTTTCAAAGAATTGTCGAGAAAAGAAGGAAAAATTAAATTTTAACAATGAAAAAGACGGTGGAAACAACAGCAAGTATAATGGTAGTGCAGCTTACACAGGAACCATTGAAACTGCGTTTAATGTAGATGTAAATTTTGCTAATGTCTGGGATGACTACTGGATAATGGACAGTGGTGCGTCTGCTCACATGTCATACAGAAAAGATTTCTTTGCCAGTTTAAATGAAAACATTAATAGTATAGTAGTACTTGGTAATGGAGAAAGACTATCTGTAAAAGGAAAAGGAACAGTAAACATTCAAAAATTGCTGAATGGAGAATGGTACAATGCTACTATAAATAATGTTCTATTTATACCCAGTTTAACGAAAAATTTATTCTCAGAAGGCATCATCACTGGCAAAGGTATGAAAATTTTAAAACAGAACGATTTTGCAGAAATTTGGGACAATAGCGGAGTAATCGCAACAGCAGTGAAAGACTATAATAATATTTATAAGATGATGTTTCGCACAGTCATCAATAGCGCAAATATTGTCATTCCCGAAAGTTTAAAGTTGTGGCATGAAAGACTTGGACACTTAAATGTGAACGCAATTCGGGAAATGGTTAAGAAAGGACTTATAACAGGCGTGAGTTTCAGCGACACTGACAAGTTCTTTTGTGAAGCATGCGCGTTTGGCAAACAGCACAAAATACCATTTGTTACAAAAAGTAAGCACGAAAAGCTAAATACCGGAGAACGTATATTTAGTGACCTCTGTGGACCTATGACCGTACCTTCAGTTTCGGGTACTCGATATTTTATGTCGTTGAAAGATGAATACTCGGGATATCGAGTAGTGTATTTCATCAAACACAAATCCGATGCGTTGGAGTGTTTCAAAATCTATAATCAAAAAGTCAAAACCAAATTCGGAAAACCGATCCATATATTGCACGTGGACAATGGTAAAGAGTTCTGTAACATTGAGTTCCAAGATTATTTAGACAAAGAAGGAATTACTCTTGAAACAACCGCTCCATACACTCCAGAACAAAACGGCCGTGTTGAACGTGACAACCGATCAATCGTAGAAAGTGCTCGTTCTATGATGTTTCAAAGACAAATGCCAAAATATTTATGGGCTGAAGCTGTCAGCATGGCAGTTTATATTTTAAATAGAACTTTAACAAGTCAAACGCCAGATTCTACCCCATACGAAATTTGGACTGGACAAAAACCATTCTTGGGGCATTTAAAAATTTTTGGCTGCGATGCTTATGCACACGTACCAGATGCGAGGCGAACCAAGTTTGAAGCTAAAAGTAAAAAACTAATATTCGTCGGCTATGACAAAAACTCTACTAACTATAGACTTTTTGACCCAATGACTAAGAAAGTAACAATATGTCGTAATGTAATTTTTAATGAGACTTCCAGAACTGTAAATATAAATAACATGGTTAAAATTAATCTAGAAATAGATGATATCACCGAATATCCAGAGATAGACACAAAGGATGTAGCCCAAGATGTTGTTGAACCTGAGATTCAGAATGAAGAGTCTGATCTGCGACCAAAAAGAAATATCAAGGTACCAGTAAGATATGAAGACTATCAGTTAAATTTTATTGAAGCAGATATTCCTCAGACGTACAAAGAAGCAATAAGCTGCACTGATGCTCAAAAATGGCAAGAAGCCATAAATGAAGAATTATCTGCTTTAAACAAAAATAATACTTGGCAGATAACGGAAATTCCACCCGATAGGAATATTTTGCATTCAAAATGGGTATTTAAGGTAAAAAGGTATCCCAATGGTGAGATTTCGCGCTATAAAGCTAGATTATGTGTAAAAGGTTGTGCACAACAACAAGGAGTTGATTATAATGAAATATTTTCCCCTACAACACGATTCGACTCAATAAGGATACTCCTAGCAATAGCTGCAGAAAATTGCTATAAAATGATGCAATTTGATATTAAAACCGCCTTTCTCTACGGTGATCTAGATGAAGAAATTTTCATGGCTATTCCAGAAGGCTTACAGAATGTAAATAGTACAAGTAATACAGTTTGTAAATTAAGAAAATCGTTGTATGGTTTAAAGCAGGCACCCAAGTGCTGGAACAAGACGTTCAACAATTTTTTAGAAAAATGTGGGTTTATACGGTCCCAAGCTGATAGATGTGTATATCATGGCTACATCAATAATATTAAAGTGATTCTTGTCATTTATGTTGATGATGGTTTGTTAATATCCTCGTCAAAATTGGCAATTGAAGAAGTTTTAGATGAGTTGAAAAGTAAATTCGAAATAACAATCAGTGAAGTCAACTATTATGTTGGACTTGAGGTTTCAAGAAATCCAATTAACGGATCTATTTTTATTTGTCAAGAGAGTTACATTAAACAGATAATAGAAAAATTTAGATTAGAAAATGCCAAGCCTTGCACTACTCCTATGGATCCCAACTGTGATTTGTCTCTAGATGCAAGCAGGTTATTAGAAGAAGATGAGGTTCCTTACAGACAAGCTATAGGTTGCCTATTATTTCTAGCCACTGTAACTCGGCCAGATATAGCACATGCAGTGGGAGTATTAAGCCGGTATGTAGGTAAACCTACTGAAATGCACTGGAATGCTGTTAAACGGTTAATTAGGTATTTAATTGGAACCCCTGATCTTGGCATTCTATATGAAAAACAAAATAAATTAAGTACCTTGGTCGGGTACTCAGACTCGGACTACGCTGGCGATCGTAAGACTCGAAGATCGACTAGTGGATATTTGTTCAAATTATGTAATGCTCCAATTACTTGGTCAAGTAAAAAACAAAATAGTGTTTCTATGTCTACTACTGAAGCAGAATACATCGCTGCATCGGATGCTGTTAAAGAAGTAATTTGGCTTCAACAATTTTTAATAGATGTTGGTGAAGATGATAAGGTTGTAAAGCCTACAATTTTATTTATTGATAATCAAAGTGCTATAAAATTGATAAGAAATCCTGAATTCCATAGTCGATCAAAGCATATCGACATTCGATATCATTTTATACGGGAAAAATATGAAGCTGGTGATATTATACCGATGTTTAGTAAAACTGATGATCAAGAAGCAGACATTTTTACAAAGGGGCTGCATAAAAAGAAATTTGAAGAACTCCGCAATAAAATGGGAATTACTTCTAAAAGCTTTGTTAAATAAGATGTTTTTTGGTTAACATGAAACTTTTCAAAAAGTGGGAGTATTAAGATTTGCTTTTGTTTTTGCAAAGTTTTACATGTTTTTTGTTTTTGGTTTTTTAGAAAAATGACTGATATATGTAATACGTCAGATTTTGATTAAAACAGTTCTTTCCTTTAAGTCTTGGTTATTGCTTTTTTTTTTTCGGTCCTCTCAACATAACAGGCGTGAGTTTCAGCGACACTGACAAGTTCTTTTGTGAAGCATGCGCGTTTGGCAAACAACAGGTTATGAGCCCAGCAGAGAGAAGAAAACATTTAAAAGTTGTGTTGCTTTTTTGTATGGTTTTCTTCTAGAGATACGTTGTGTACGCATCTAGAAATTAAGATTTGCTTTTGTTTTTGCAAAGTTTTACATGTTTTGTTTTTGGTTTTTAGAAAAATGACTGATATATGTAATACGTCAGATTTTGATTAAAACAGTTCTTTCCTTTAAGTCTTGGTTATTGCTTTTTTTTCGGTCCTCTCAACATACT